TGGAAAATAACTTTTCAAAGAAATGTCGGTGCTGTCATTTAAGAGTATTCATGAGTAGGAACAATAATTTCTACAATTCATCATTTTATTTGCTGATCGAAATTCGAATGTCGTTGCTGAACTTGCATTCCAAGACAGATCGTTCAAGAAACATAGCAATTCTATGCTGAAATAGAAATATTGGATTAGTCTAAACTTGAAATTTTCGTTTCTATCTTATTCGACCATTCATATTAAAATTAACGCCAGGAAATTAAATCTTCGCATACGTGAATTTTGATGTAGTATTGCATTACGTGATGGAACTGAAAGTTATGATAAGTGTTCATGGAAAACTCTAAAATTGTGTCTTTTTCGTAATTTTTGATGTGGCTTTTTTTAGCAGACCTCATATAGTTAAATTTCTTAATTCTTTCAGCATTATGAAGCAAAAATTTTCGTGTTTAAAAATTTTTCCAACATAACAAAATGATGTTTGAAAATTTTTCGTGTTGTTAAAGTGTTGTTAAAGTAAAAACGGATTCTGTATAGTGATATTATAGCAGTGTTAATGTACTGCATGCCTCTGTGATGGTTGAATTGATCAATATGAATTATCCACTGCTGGTATATTCCTTTTCACCGTGACATCATCTGCTTACAAAGCTTTTCAAGTTCGAAATTGCATTCCCGAAAATGTTATAGAAAGAAGCAATAACGAATTTCATTTGCGATTTACAGAAATATGACGCATAACAGATGTTCGCAGAACTGGTAGGTGTAAAGTTTGTTGCAGTCGATAGCACTTTCATATGTTGTTTTTGTCCACATTAGATGTATGAGTAATTATAAGTTAAATAGGAGAGGAAAAAAAGGTTAATTGAATGGGACAAAATGCAAAAGATTTGTCATCCACATAGATTATTTGATCTCTCTCTTACGAGAATTATATTTCTTGGCGAGTGATTTAAGAATGTGTGCCAAAATATCACATTTCCAAATCTTATCTTCTATCAGTATGTGCGATGGACTTAAAAGTAATATTTATGCAAATGTTTTTCCATCCTTCCAACCTTTACATGAGATTTTTTCATTTCAGTTTAATAATTGCGAAAACAGGGTGAGCATAAATATTAATGGTATACTGCAATTTCGATGACCCCAACTTTTTATAAGGAATAAAAAGTAGAAAGCCTGCAAAGGAATAGAAAGTAAATAAATTAAGAAAGTTTCGAGACAAGTAGAACAAATGCTGAGATAGCTATTGCAAAAGAAGAGAATAAATTCTAAGATGGATCTAAATCGGATACGCCCTGCTCTGAGGGATTCAACCAAGATCTTTAGCACTAGAAATTTTAAATAAATTTTCCATCATTTTTAATCTGTTCCTGTTTCAAAACATATAAGCTTTGCTTTTTTCTAGACAAAATTCAAATATATCAATATTTCATTAATGAATCGAAATTGTGAGTCTCGTAAACTGATAGATTTGAATTCTTCTCGAAATTTCAGTAAATTTTTCTTCTCGATTTCTCTGAAAGTGAAAGTTTGTGATTCGGTTGTGAAGAAATGACGCTAAATTTATTTACAAGTTGATGGAGATTAAAGAGATGAGATGTGGCATGTGCATTATCTTTATTAGTATTCGCAATAATATTAAAGTAGAAAAATAGCGAGAAAGGAAATGCAGCTTTGATAGTTTGTGTTAGCTTATGTAATAAATTTCTTGAAGCAGCTCTCCCTTTTATGTATTTAAATCAAAATTGTAAAAGTTTCCGGAAAATGCGCTGAATTCACGAAAAATGCTGGAATTTTTCCGTTTTTCGCTCGCGGCAACCTTATGCCATTGTCGAAGTGACCCCTTAGCACGGTATATTACCATTCCTTTTGCTAAAATTCTGTTTTATTAGATTTAGATTTTAATAGAAACCTTTGTCTTAATGAATAATTCAAGCCATCTTGCAGGAGCAACCGACGAAATCATCGAAATCTGAGTCTAAATCAATGTCAGATCAATGGTATATTTTCCTTTTTTTTTTTGCTTTGATAATGGATGACATAATTTTATCATTGTTTATGGCTGAAATGTTCGATGCAAACTGAAACAAAAAATTCTCATTCCTAGAATGCAGTCCATATCGTTTCTCAACTGATTTCTAAACTAGTCAATAACTAATTAATTTATTACAACATAAATTAGTGCACATACTGACTAAATATTTATTGAAAGTTTAACTTTGCTAGATTCTCAAATTTTTTGAGTTGAAAGTTCTTATTAATTTTTTTCCTGAATTTGAAGATAAAAAGCAAATTCTGTCCATAAAATACCATAGAGCTATACGTATAATTAAGCCACAACAGTTATTTACCAAAAAAGTGGACAGCATTAAGACACACTGCAATTTATACCCAACCTCGATGTCAGTCCTTGTACATGCAGCAATATTAAATTTCACTCCAGGCAACCATCAATAGAAATTGTTAACCACAAGTTAAGCACGATAATAAAGGTTTACCTTTGCTCATACGGTGCGTGAAACTAACCTGAGAACTACGACCAAGAAACCTAAAAAGGGATTCGTATTTTAGCTTGGATCATTTCGATGTTTTCCATTACACTTTATGAATTTGCAGTGTTAACTGTAACAAAACTTTCTGTTCTAGAGAGAGTGAGAGAAGAAATAACAAGTGATCAGGAAGTTTATCGAATTAATAACATCCAGAAAAACAGGTAGTCCAAAATTAATTTTCCCCACAAAAAATATAAGAATAAACTAGAAATCAAACAACTAGCGACTGAAACCTTCATAATTTGTTGGATTTCACTTACCGCTTATTCTTACCTTCCCACATTTCTCTTTTTCTCTATCTGGAACACATTGTCTATTAGTATTTCAGTAATGCAGTCTCTTTCATAATTGAACACAATCAATTCATATTCAGAATAAAAACGAATCAATCTGGTAATAAAGGACAACTTGATGGACAACAATCACTACAACGTAAAGTACCACTGCCAGATAAGTCAACATGCTTTGTACGAGCGGTATCATTCGGTACACAAACTACTGTAGGTTTTTACTTTTTTTTTGAAAATTACGACCAAATTCAAACAATTTCAAATAATTGATATGGAATCTATAATCATTGATGATTACTTAATCTCAAAAATGATTTTCTGAGGTTTTTGGCTAACGTTAGACATGATCATTTGCGTAACTGCAAGAAAAAAAGCTTCAAACAACAAACCAGGACTGAAATCAAGTTCACCATTTTAAAAGTGTTGAAATAATACATAGATCATTCAACATCACAGCTAGCGACCTATAACTTATTCCATGTGTAGCACAAATCAAGATCTTTCCATTTTAAGCATACTATTTAATATACTAATTATTCTACAGTAATTTGCATGCTGACTTGAAAGACCTAGTATTACTGAGCTTCCAACCTTCAAGAATTTAGGAAGAGTGGAAATTTAAAAGGGATACAACAATAGTATCCAAAGCCACTCAGACGCCACTATTCATCGCCCATAACGAAGAAACCAATGGAAAAAACGAATCCGAAGAACTTCTGAAGGTATAGTTTTTCTTTTCACACATTCCATCTTGCATGATTATATATATATATATATATATATATAGGCGTATTGGATGTAGTGTAAAAAAGCAGATATTACTGCGTTCATTAAACGCAGTAATATCTGCTGTGCGTTCATTAAAATATTTATAACGCTTCTAGAAGGGATGCACCAACTTTTTTTTAATCTACTAATCGGTAAGCTCCTCGATTTAAAAAACTGAAAACAAATGTCTTAAAAGTTTATCGATAAACTTAGATTCTATAATTGCTAATCTAAAATCCTGACTGATTATCGTCGATGCCTAGTATCGTGTACGTTTTTTCCAGCTTCAAGCATGGAAAGACGCAAAATTTTTTGTCACAAATCAGCTTCTAGCGCAATATTTTTACACTCCCAACTGCACAGAAGTATGGTGTCCAACAGAAAGTTATTCTTCAACCAAATCTTAAAACTTTCGTTTATGAAATTAAATTACTTTATCCTGATATTGTCTGGAACAAGCTTATGCAAATTTAAGAAACCAATCAGAAAATAAACAACATTCTGAGCAGCAGACAAAGCAGTTTTTTTCGGAGTAAAATTAGCTAATACCATTCCATTAGTTTTTTTTATCATCCCATTAATCTAAAACAATAGTTGAAGCGGGAGCAGGTGTAGTTAAGTCATATTTTACGTACTCAATGCAAAATATTAATAGAATCACGGCCTCTACAATAACCAAAATGAAGCGTGGAATACCAATGTAATCTACTGTCTCCATTGGAATACCAATGGAGACCTCAACTTTTTCAGAAATCGTTGTCGGTGCAGCCAAAGGCCAAGATATTATGATTAGTGTAATGAAAACTTCAATAACCAAAGCAGTGATCGCTATAACTCTGAAAAAAACAAGAATAATTTTTCAAGAAAATAATTAAATATATTTGGTGCTCAAAAGAGAAGCGGAGCATAACTTACGTTCTTCGTATCCGTATACACATAATACATATAGCAATACTAAAAATCCATATAAGCATCATGACAATAACACCAAGACCAACACCAAATATACGTAGAGACATTCTCTGCAAAGCGTGAAAAATTATAAAAAATAAATGCGCAATTCCTACACAATAAAAGAAAGAGAAAAGAGGAGGTGAAGTCGTCTTAAGTACACAAAATGTTCTCCAAAACGACCGAATCATAAGTTGCAATTTTGAGGAAATGTGGTGCAAGATATCTAGGTCAAAAATTTGAAAACAACATAAGGTTAAAAGAAAAAAAAAGTAACATAAGGTTAAGACTTCTGTTATTCTTTCAATAAGTTTTCTAATAATTCTTACTTTATGTCACATACGATTACGCATAAACAGCATGAGTGCAATTGAAGTCACACTGAATCCGTTATTCAGGTTGACCTCAGGATTTTTTTTTGTAGTCACAGTAAATGCAGTTAAGTAAACATTGCCCTATATCAACTAAACGTTAAGGAAATACGGTTACTATAGAAACTACTACACAACAATGTGACTATCGACTATCCTTTCAAGCATCTTGAAAAGATCAAAAAGTTCGGATATGCAAAGAATGTTTGTAATAGCGATTATCATTCAGTTGTAAAGCTTACTGAAATGATTACTACAACTTCCTACTTAACACTTATCAATGCTAGAATCCTACAGGAGATCTAAGATTTTGCATGGATGATGCTCTTGTTCCTGCGTTTTCTTTACAATTTGGATTTAATGTTTTGGAGAAATCAAATCATGCAAAGTAAATGGTTTTTATGTTGCTTTTCAATGAATTAGCAAGGACGATAAACAGAATCGTCTCTTAAGAAAAAAAAATAATATGCACTAAACTAGCCCTCTAAAGTACCCACTAAACACTAATTTTTTTCAAGTTTTATTAAACTCAAACACAAATCGAATTTTAAAATAAAACTGGAGAAATTCAAATCAAAATAAAAATGCAAGCCTTTTCTCAAAGTATTCACCTCCAAATTAGTGGTTGTCTCAGCTGAACCATTAAGCCCGTAAGTATCCTAATGCAAGTCTTAGACAAATTAGACAAAATCGTACACACTCTTAATGTTTTCCCTAACCGATCAGTGACCCAAACTGAACCGCTATCATTATACAAGTACTGACGATATTTTGACCACATATATACGCAAAAAACTTGACCTTCGGTTAAGTAAAGTTAACGCAGTACGATGAAAACTGAAGGCAGATGTAATGAAAGCCGTAGCAAATCATGTAATTCATGAACTTATCTTAATAAAATAGACCCCATCTTTCACAAATAACTGAAAATTTCTATTCCACAGTCCTAAAAATTGAGGCAGAATTAATTAGTAAATACTGAGCACATGCTGAACTAATAGCTTGTTATGTATTAAGATCAGTAAGATGTATAATTTTATCAATGATTTCCAAAAATGAAAAATTCTTTCAACTTAATGCAAAAGATAAGCAAGGTGCAAACACTGAATATAATTTGAAATCTGATCAAATCATCGATGATTTGAATCACTTGATCTCCACTGATATTTATAGCACTCAAGGAAGTATAAATAACTGGCGAGATTGATGACTCCATTAAACTAACAATTTCTTTTTTTTTCCTTAAAAAAAATCAGAAAAATATCTTCTTAATTACTCTCAGCGATCTGAATGAAAGGGAGAAATAGCGGCGATTCATAAAACCAACTGACGCCACTGATGCACTTATTGAAAGACCGTTCAAACATGTCACTGTCAGAAAGAAGAAAAATAAAATTCATTTGGTAAAAAATTTGATTAAAATATGTGGATAAAAGCTTTGAATAAAAAATATATAAAGACAGATATATCGTCACCAGAAATCATTTTGGTATCGGCAGTTCCTGAGCGGTGCGTTATCCGAATAATCTTCAACTCAATTATTACTTTTTGGTATATCATGGGCGTTCTTCTTGGCATTGATGTAAAATTCCCCTTAATTCAGTCGGTCCCTATAATTGCCAATATTTCTAAACTTTCTCTTTTTTTTTTAAGAAAACGGTGCTGGGGAATTTGTTTAAAAAAAATAAGTGGTGCAAATGGCGAGTAATTCGTAATAACTTTACTTGTGGAAATGATAATCCAAAAAAAAAAATAGTCAAATGTCTCCTTAACGATATCGAGAATTGAATGTTTAGAACTTTCTGAAAATTAAGAGAAGACAATTGAGAAATTCTGAATAGTAAAAATAGTAAAAAGTAAAAAATTGAATCTTCAAAAAAAATAGTAAAAAGTAAAAATTGTGAATCTTCAAAAAAAAAAATTTAATTACATCCTTCACCTTTAGACAATCAATCAGTAAATAAATATTCTTCGACTACTTCTTCGCATTTATATCGGACTAAGAGAATTGTAGGAGAACGTTCGATCCACAATGACTTCACCTTCCTCTTTCGATGTAATAATCTAACATCTCTGATAATCTCATCATACATCACTGTCCCCTAACTCGGTAACAAGGAAAATGCTACAAATAAGGAGGGTTAGAGATTGAAAAGATTTGAGAGAGTATTGCTAAAACGTTGATAAAATAAAAAAAATGCAATAATTTGGTGTAGCATAGATTAGCGAAATATGTTGCAATCAGAGATTGAGAAACTCTATAATTATTATGTAAATATACGATAGGAGCATAAGAAAATGATTTAAAAGGATGGGACAGTTAAAGAAATGTTAGATAGTGATGAGAAATCTGAGAGCCAGAATACATGCAAAATAGATGGGTCTTGCAACGATCGTCGATATCCTGTATTAAAGCGTTTTTCAAATGTGGTATTTTTGTGAAAAGTTTTGCTTTCATTGTCTTAAGGGGAGTGTCATATTGTTCGGTTTCGGTGACACTATTAGCAAGCTAAGCGAGCGCAATGTTTATTTTGATATTATTTGAATGGTTTCGTTGGGAATTAATTATATCAATGCGGCAGTTGACGAATTGACGTAAAATAAAATGAAATGCTAGTGAAGTAGCATATGTTATAGATATTACTGGCGATGAGTGTTTTTCCTCGCGATTTTGCATGATGTTTATATTAATACGTCACAAATTTGCAGTCAAGATAGAAACTTGAGATCGATATTTAAAAATAAGTATACACTGAGGCATAAAAGTACCAGAATGTTTGTTCTTAGCTTTTTCCCATCTAAATATGCTAGATGAGAGTATCGTAACTTGTCATTTTCAAGCAACTGAACTGGAATATAGCTATAAAATTATTACTTCTGTAAAACATATGGCGCGAACTCGAACTGAGTTTTGAAATGAACTAATTTTTCGGTAATTTTATGAATTTCAGACTGCTATTTTTGGTAATGCAGTATTCTCTGAATGTTGTCTCAGCTAAAACAGATCTATTTCCAGAATCGCCATACTCTACGATTGCTGGAACTGTGGAGCATTTTCGCCCACTACTTCCTTGTTTTTGTCAAAAAATCCTCGAATTTATATTCCAGATAGTATGAAATCTATATAAAATGGAGCAATCAAAGCAGCCAGCGGAATATTACGCTGTACATATCCCGTCACCAGATGGTGGGATATCTAATGAAGGGGCCGTATTCGCAACCCTAAGAGAAGCATCCAGTTTTGCGAACACTCCAGAAAGTAAAGCAAAAGGTTAGACGTCCAAGATGTTATATGGAATATTAGAACTAAATCTACAACAAGAAATAACTTGAATATTATGTATAAACTATTTGTGAATTTTTTAGGTGCTCGTTTCAAGCGCTTTCAAAATGAGGAAGACGCAAAAAATTACGCCAAAAATGGTGATATGTTTTGCAAAAGCCCTGAAATATCAGTCGGAAGTCAGCCTACAGGAGAACCGGGTTCATCTTTTCCGTCCGTTTCTCGAATTATGCTCAATCGTTTGAAAAAGTCAATAGAATTAAAGGTACGTGATTATATGTTGTATGAATTTAGGAAGATTCATCGTCGACAGTTTCTCTCGTGATCTTCTATTTAATCTCACCACATTTTCCGCTGTTTTCTATTTTAAAAAGAGATTGCCATTTAGGATGATGGATTATTCTCGGAAATGGTTTTCCAGAATCCTCGTTATTTAATTAACATAGGAAGTGACACGCCAACAATCGTAGTCGAAGGTTTTCGTTATAATGCTATGCATCTGGCTGCCAAAGTTGGCAATTTATACGTTGCTAAATACGTTCTGCATCTTATCTGCGATAGTGAAGCATTACTTGCTTTATATGGTTTGTGAATGGATTTTAATAATTTTTGGATTTCTCTTGTAAAAAATTCCTTGATGAATTTTTTTTAATCCATGTCTCCTTTTGAGAGCTATTGTTAAAGAGCTGAAAATTTCGTGGATGCTTACCCAAAGATCACAAAAAGCATATATCATCTTTTTCGGCTTTCATAACATAAAACTAATTTAATGTTTAAGGGACGTCGGAAGATGATGTTAGAATGCGCTCACGTATACTTCTGGATTGTTACCTTAATATGCCGGACAAAGGTGCACACGATACACCATTACATTTTGCATCTAAATTTGGACATTATGATCTTGTTGAACTCTTTCTGAGTTACAACTTGTGTCAGAAAAGTCCCATAAACAAGTAAGCGAATATAAATTGTTTCTTAAGTTGTTTAATTTCTTCCAGATTTTAAGCAGAAGTTTATAAAAAGCACTAAGTTCGCTACTGAAATCTGTATTTATCTCTTTAAATTTTCTTCATCATCGTTATCAGAGGAAAAGAAAACTTTAGATGATAGTCTACACAAGTACAAGGACTTGGGATTAGTTTTTTTTCCAAAGTTTTATGCACAAATTGATTCTTGTTGATATTTAAATTGAATTCGCTTAAAAGTCTAGAAATTTAGGATGGGTTTAACTCCTGCTGAAATTTGTTGCACGAGATATGGTGGCCGTGATAAGGAAAATCTCCTTGGTTCAATGTTGCCACTTTTCGTTTCTTTCTTTGTTGCACTTTATCGTCCAACGGATAATTATTATTCAATAACTATCCAACTTCTCGGTATAGTTTTCGAAGTTTTGTTAGTTCTTTCGGCTTATGTTAAAACATCATTCCTATTGCTGTAGAATGCTGATATGTTAGCAATGAGGACAATATATATCTTTTTGTTAGATCGCTATTAATAAATTTACGCTTCTTTTTTACTCCATGCGACGACCGGACACGCTGCAACTTTTGATTTACAGATGAAGTACCGCCTAATACACTTCCAAATGATACACCTGGACCCTCTGTATGCAAGTCAACTTTGGAAACATGTGAACTTGCAGCTTACGCTGGTAATTCTTGTTAAAAACTGGACGTCTTTTTTTTGTTTTATTAGTTTTAATGTTAACACGAAATAGACAAAGCGTGGGCCTTGTAGATTCCTGTTCATCGGTAAGAAAGAGGATGTGAAACAGGATAGAAATCTAATCACATTTAAGAGGCCCGAGAAACAAGACGTAAACAATAAAATGTTATAAAAAATTTATATGCCAGTTGTCTTTATACATTTAGTTTCCAGTTTGTAGCCGTGGTAAATTATTTAAGGACCATTCTCTGATAGAGCTATAGCACAGAAATTTTGTGAAACATGGAAAACCGAGGAAAAAGATTGTCGTAGATCGTATCCTCGGAAAGGCGCTGAACGTATTGGGCGACGTCTTGCTAATGAATACCAAATAATTTGGATGGAGCGCTGGAGTTTTTGCAATAAACTGCTTGATTTTCAGTCTTGCGCAGGTCTATTGTACTCTTTCTCAATCGAGTTTTAAATTCTTTTCTTAAAGAAAAAAAAAACCACAGTATTATATAAAACAAGATTCTTTCTAGACCGGAAGATTAGCTGAATTTTCATTGCAGTGACAAAAAATATGACTCTGTTTTGAAACCTTGATTTTTATTATTCATTACTGCAGGACTTGAGGAATTAAATCGCTATCTTGTGAACATCAGATTGAATCCACCGCCTTATTCAGTTTGCGTTGTCACTTTCCGCCACGATGACGACTCCATAGTTTTTTCGGATGCCTCTGATGTCATGTTTGTAAGGGATCAAGGAAGTGAAAACGACGGATCTGGGACCGATGATTCACATGCCACACCACTTGGTGGAATAAGAGACAAGTAAGTCTTTCAGCAGTTTTATTTTCTGGGACTCTAAAATATCCCTCGCATCTAGTTCTTAACTGTTACGTTCTTTGCAATAATGAAAGGCTAATGTGGCACATTTAGTTACCACGGATGCTTCATTTTTCAAAATAAGAAAAGGTAGCTAATTTATATAACCTTATTTTTCCTATTTTATTTCAAAAATTATCACCTTGTTTTTCTCATTTTATTTCAAAGAAAAATTGTATATGGTTGCATAAATTTCTGCTAGCTCAGAATTTCACGTAATACTTATAGCGGGTCAGTCGTGGATACGAACAATGACCACTTATATTGGTAGAGTATTTTTTTTACTTTTTGTGTCTGCGTGCTTTTCCCCTCTTTGCTTTCCATAAGTAAAACTCAAGTTCATTTTAGTAAATATGAATTTACTGAATTTTATTTCTATTTTCAAGTTTTCATGATTAATTGTTTTAAAAAGCTTCTGACATTCTTCAAAACAGATATAGTTATTTACAACTTTTTCTCTTTTCTTTTTTAATGACTGTAACTTTCACTTTCATCAATCTGTACCTATCTTATCCATACATCAGTTAGAAGTATTCTCGATCCAGAGTTACTTTTGTTGTTAATACCTAAAATTTGTTCAAAAATTCTTCTGCAAAATCTATAGGTGTTGTTTGCTCTTTCAATATTTTCTGCTTATAGGAACTGTTTTCCGAAACTAATCCATAGTGTTTGCTTTTTTTTGAGTTTTTGTGCTTTGCAAACTTCTTTGCTTTCATGTATTAAAAAGATTAGGTAAAAAGTGAAACATTTTAAAAGAACTCAGTAAAATTTTAGGTTGGAAAATCTTCATTTGGACTCATCATCATCATCAGCTGACATAGTTTTGGATTCGGGCGATTATTCATCTGAAGACGATGTTGTTGTCGTAGATAAGCTTGTAGTTTCCGAATCAATGTTGTCTTCAGACACTTCATCTGCTCAACAGGAACAGACTAGCAGTAGTGACGGTCAAAGTGACTGTGTTGATTTTGATTATTATACACCACCAACGTCGCCAGAGCCGATCTATATTTATGAAGGGATTCCATCGAAGGATGATGAGGAACTAGCAATTGCGCTCTCTTTGGTAAATTATTGTACGCAGTAATTATGTAAAGAATACATTATGAATAAGAAAGGATGCGGGAGAGATTTGATTTTCTGAAAATTGACCTGTTATCCTTTTTCTTTAGACTCATTTGACGAAGGATGCATATTTATTGATTCCGGTATATAATTTTCGTGCATATATTTGTTATCAGTTATTCTTTGCTGCACGCTAAATTGAGATCATTATTCCTAGTGAACATATATCGTGTTTGGAATTATAGTCCATAAACGATCTATTAATAACTTATAAGACTGGAATATATCGTGGGAGCTATCTGACTGTTTAGTGATATCTCTAACTTTAGAACCTGTTGGATACGCTCTATTGAATATAAAATAATGTCAACCATTTCATTTAATCAGTATCAATTTTATGACTAGGCCAATATTGTAGTTTTACTTTACTATTCCGAAACTTATATTCACGTGTACTTTAGGTTACCTAGTCATTTTTACTGTCGGATTTCATCTTTTTCAAAATCGCTTTTAATTAAGGTCGACCCGCAACTGATTCAACGTTATGGTGCTGTTGCCGAATATGTGCGACATTTAAACAGCATTCCGGAATCGGAGCGTTCCCAGTGGCCATTCACTGATTCACCACGTGCCAAAAAACGCAGAATGTAAATTTAAAGCGATGTTTCAAACGGATTGCATTGGCTAAAAAGATTTTTTCCGCAATTACTCTCTCACTTTTAACTTCTCTTTGAACGATATTTCGAAGTTTTACATATCAAGTAGTGTGAATGAATGGAAAAACTGTTCTCTATATTAATGTAATGTTTTTAAGGTGTGTGCCGTCACTTCAGATGCATCTGAACTGCTAATTTGGTAATCATGTTTGAATTTTTACGCTATCCAAATATGCCTTTGTATCTGTGTCCTGTACATACTTAATATTAATTTTGAAGGAGAATTCAAGATTGTGGGAATACAGTTATTCATTTAATAGATAAAAAAATTGATAGGAATCAAGTTAGTATGGCTAAAATTGGCTTTGCTATATAATCTTTAAACATTGGGAATAGATAAGTAAGTAGCTATAAAATAATTTGTCATTACTTTGTTCCGGAGTATTTGACACTTTATCAGGCACGAAAAGCTCATGCAGATGAATCAATGAATCTCATTAGTTACGGTTTGAATTATTTTGGGTCATATTTTCATTGTAATGAAAAGGCTTTTATCTAACTGCTCTTTGGGAATGGATAACTGTAATTTAAAGTGTTTTGATTCAAACTGTGAACAAAATGATTTGATCGATATTCCATCTGATATGTGCTTTTATGTTCTGTAAAAAAGTCAAATCTGTTTCTCTAATGTGCCATGTAAAATTCTACTACTTAATATCCATCCATCTCAGAGGCGTTCAATTCAATATTCAATGTGGACCATTTCGGCTCGTCTGTGTCTTCCTCAGCCTTACGGCATTAGTTGGCATTGTGCTATATTATTTGTAATCTTATTTGGATTCATTTACCAAAAATAAATGTCTTCATAAAGTTAAGATCCGCAGATTTTAAATATTGTGAAATGATTACCAAATGCTCAGATGTACAGGAGAAAAAAGGCGTTTCAGTATTATTGATCGACAAATAATGTAGAAGAAGATTGCAGGCGCTATATAACCGGATGAAATGTTCTTATTGATGTAGCATTTCAATGTATCTCACTACCTAATTGGTCTTGTCTGTCAGGAACTTAGATCAAAGATTAACATTACTTTTCTCAGTACATAATGATTGTTGTTGTCCCTAAACATCGAGGTAAAAATGCTTTGCTAGGAAAGATCCAAGATATTGGACCTTCACTGCAATAGTGTGTGATGTAGAAAATCACGAAGTCTTAAGAATTCTTCAGAAGTTATTCTGAACTGTACGCTATGTTTGATTACAAAAGATGAGAGGCTAAGAGGTATAAAGTGAATTTGTTTCAAATTTATAGATGAGAGAGACGGAAAAAAGAACAAGCATGTGGAGGATGGATGAGAACTGGAGAAGTGGCTTTCCATTCTCTATGTAAAAAATACTTCCACACATCGATTACTTACTTATATAGTCTTCTTCTCAACTTTCACTCCTAACGAAATCCTGCCTATCCAAATGCTATTTATAATTTCCACAAAATAAAGTAAATCTTCTTATTAATCTTTAAGCTGAATAATTTAATGGATAAAATTGAAAGTTTTTAAAAATTTACAAGCACTTCAGGGACTCGTGAAATCGATGTGGCTTAGGCAATTTAGCATTTTATATGTTGAAACGAAAAATATTATTTCCGTTTCACTGTTCTTTTTATATGCTTCAAGAATGTAACCGTTGAAATGTAGTTGTTTACGTTGTTTATTGCTAAATTTTTTAGGATTAGAATTTTTTTTTTTGGGAGTAGAAAAAAAAAGAAAGAAAATTGCTTCCCTTCATCTTCGAAAAAGAAAGAGTTTTAAAACAGTTTTAAGTTAAAATTGATCAAGTAGTGATCAAATTTGATCTAATTAAAAAGGTAACTTTGCTTAATGGAAGTGTTTAAGGATTTAATTTTTCATCTATGAAATTTATAGTGCTACCATTTCATACATTAATTATTTTAATTATTAAGCAATGTTGGAGCAAAATTTTGCTATTATCACATCAGATATGAATGTCAATAACAAGTGTTTTCGAGCTTCAATAATAACAATAATTAAAAATAGGAAATTGAATGCATGTTTATTAGCTAAAGTCGATAGCAATGACAAATTTTTGGAATGAAATTATGGGTTTGCTGTAGTAGTAGGAGAATGATGAACAAAGCAGGCATTAAGGTTTTCATTGATAAATCTTATTTTTAGAATAGACAACTATTCTAACCCACTTTTCAACTCACTGATTGCTTATTGATTATCTATCTTCTCCTACGCATTTCCATTCATTTCGTTTTTTGGCAGAATGAGGAGGAAAGGAAGGTTTGATACATTTATCAAACTAAACTTAATAAGGAAGAAAATTTTCTTTTCTTCTCTTATTTCTCATCATATAGTTTATCTTTTCTTTTTTTAATTTTAAATTATTTTTTCTTATTCATCTAGGTTGTTTGCTTAAATTATATCCATTTGCATTACATATTGCTGATAAAAATTTTTAAGGAATGTGTAATAAAATAATATTGCGTGTTATGTATACTAATTAACAAATTTGATTTCATTTCTCTTCCAAATCTTTTCCCTATTCGTCAAAGGTTTTCTTTACTATCTGAATTATATTCGCTCCAACATCTCTCCATTTTTTTCTTTTTTTGTTTTTGATATTATTTTTAGAAATTTCATTAACAGTCTAACCATTGTACAGTTAGAGATTATTCATGTACAAATTTTCATTCGCTGAAAATCTAGTTTTTCAATCGGAGAATTAATTAGAAATGATTTTAATTTAAACTATTGGAATGAATAATTTGCAGTTTGATAATTTTTATTTAAGACTCAATTGTCTTAACTCTTGAAAGGTCACACTTATATCTTGATTAAAATAACTTTTCAGCTAAATGAATTAATTTTAATTATTTTGTTCGAAAATAGCATTAATCTAAATGTTTGAATGATAATTTCTTGAAATTCATTTGAAATCTTAGGTTTTTTAGAAAAAAATAAAAAGAAAGAAATAAAAAATAATTTTCTTTTTAAGTGTGAAGGTAAAAATAAACCCATATCAATTGTTAAGCTAAATTAACTAGGAGAAAGCGACAAATTAAACCGAATTCTTTTCGGCTGTGTGCTTCTAAAATCGTTCCTTTAAACTGATTCTCTCTTAGAATACCAGTGTGTCATACTAAAATTTACTCAAATATCATCAAAGGTGTGACAATGGTACCAAATCATTTAAGCATTACTCACTAGTTCAGTCTCATTGGAGACTATCATTCGGGTTTGAATTTAATTTCAGTTTTTTAAAACCGTGAATGATAGAATAAGTTGGTAATGGAATAGTGTGGAACTTTATTGATTCACACTTTTGAAAGTGAATTTAAAGCTCTTTGTAAGGAAAGCGAAATTGACGGACCAATTTCATATCTTACAGCAGAGTTGCGTGATTTAGTCATGTTATTTATATATTAGACATTAAAAATGTTCTTTAAATATTCCAAAACATTATCTCTCTAATATTTCTAAACTTTTAAAATAATATTAAAATAACTTGAAATACGACTTTTATTAAATTTTCTCCTGTTGTGCGATTCATTTCCCAATCGATTATTAATTGTTTTTAAAAATAAATCGATGCTTTTTGAGATATGAAAAAGCCATTCCAAGCTGTCAGATAGCTTTTTTTCTTTTTTATTTTAAAAGGCAATCAAACAATTGCTTATTTTAAAGTCATTTGTTCCTTCAAAAATGATGGAATGGGATATAACCAAGAAAAGACTATTATCCAATACAGAAAATTTATTTCTTCAGCTTTATGGCAACACATATTCCTACGCGCTTCATTTCAGATTTATTTTCCATTTTTCCTTCAACATCATCAAATTTCAGGAAAAAAAATATCAGAGATAAATTTTGCAATGAACATTAGTTATAATCTTGAAGAAAGGGATCAAGAAATAGCTTAAATCAAATAAGTGAATAATTGGGATTATTCTAGCTTAAACGTAAAAGAAGTTAATTACTAACTAATAATTAATAGTTGTGACACAAGCCAAAAAATAACAAGCGTAAATACACTGTATCCATATTTCCACGGATATGATGTACTTGCGCCTGCATATATTCATTTTCTATCTGTCATTTTCATGAAACACTCTCATTATTTAGCTATTTTGATTTTTTTTTTTTAAATAACTAATCGTATTCTTTGCATTTGAAAGCAAATCAAAAAAAAATTTTATTTCTGCTACATAATGAGCAGTGTGCAATAAATAGCTATGAAATGTTTCTTTCGGAACAATAATACTCCATTTTGTTTAAATGCCACTGCTCCACTGATAGAAATAGAAATGCTGTACAAACCAAAAAATAACACCGTATCCATATTCCTGATAGCATATATTCACTTACTACCTGTCATTTCCATGGATGACAGACAGTAAATGAATATATGCTATCGGGAATGTGAATACGATGTAATTACACTTTTTTAATTATTTTGAAATTTTTTTTAATGCAACTAATAGAAATGTGGTATAAACTAAGTAAGAAAATGACAGATAATAATAGAAACCATCATGCACTGAATATCCTCAAGTTTTGGTTTTTGTATAAGTTTGCTAATACTTTATTTGTTTTACTGATTTATTGAATTTCATCTTTTCTATCAAATTCCTTTCTTTTTGCCGCCACTTTCCTTTATTAGATTCATTATATTTAAATCAAAAATTTTGTAAGTATTTTTAGCTCTCAGTTATTAGAATTTTATTGTAAGTTGATATTAGAGAGTGTAATTACAGATATATTTGCCATATGTAAGATCTTTTCTGTTTTAAATCGTAAATAGTCCATGTTAATAAGACTATAAGTGAACGTTAAGTTAAATCGAGAAAATTCAAAATTTCATGAACAGCGATAGGTATTGATTTTAATAATGTATAGATTTAAAAGTGAAAAAAAATTTTATAGGTAAAGTGTAAAAAAATAAAGTTAAATAGATTGCCAATTGGACCTAAAAAAATTTGTCAAGATAACTATTAGCATGGAAATATAATTCCTTTATGATTCATTTTAGGCGATTTGACTTTTGAAAAAAAATACGTATTCTGGAATTTGCAAGATCGTAGGATTAAATCAACACGTGTAGAATTGTTTTTAAATTCAAAATTGTCATACTTTTGAGCTTTTTTTTTCTTTTTTAACATGTCAGAATATTTAAAAAAAAATTAATTGTGATGATTAATCTATTAAGTAAATTACAATCATGATTATAAGGATGAACTTTTGAGGATAGTGAAAGATGAAATAAGCTAAGTTAAAATACATTCGCTTAATACATAGACATACACATATATAATTTATTCAAAGAAATATATAAACTAGAAGTCATTCTAAAAACGTGGAAAGATTTGTTGGACATTTTACTAGCTCGTAAAAAAGAAAAAAAAATGGGCAATCATCAATGACAGCTATTTGATATAAGCCCATTAGGGATTTTCTTTTGACAGCGATTCGAAATTACATATTTGTCTTATTCTTAGTCTTCCTGTTTGATAGAATTCTTCGTTGTAATATAAATTTAGCTATTTTTTGCTTTGTTTTCGCTATCATCTAACTCATTTCTCAATTCAATGCCTTTTTTTCTAAAATTTAGATAATTTTTTTTTTTGGCTTTCAGGTTTTTGACGAATATTTCTATGATAGGAAAAGTGAGCCATTGTAACCGACACAGCTAGCTGAAAATACCGAATTGGAGAAGTAGTAAATAAAAGAGGAGAAGAAACAATGGAAAGTATATCTAGCGGTGTCAACTTTCTCAGGCGTCGGTTTAGCTCTCAGGATATTGCAGAAGATGACAAGACGATGTCCACTTCATCTCTTAGTGGACGTGGCCCACAACAACAAAAACATTATCAACAGCATTCCTCCAACACTTCATCACAAATCCAGAATGGACCACCTAATAGTTTCTCATTGGCTGGTCTTGCCAACAAAGTCTCCAGTGCTATAAGGTCAGCTTTTAAATTATACATTTAGAATTCGATAATAAAGAGAAAATTCATCATAGCCAACATTAATAGGAATTATTGTTGGTATCGATATGCTTATTGATAAAACAGCAGGAATGATTAAAAAAATTTTTATGATAATATAAAAGAGAAAAGGATTCGAAATGAATGCGTTACAATTTGCAGACGTTTATAATATTACAGATAGGATATAGAATGAAACTAAGAAAAAGATAGTAGTCCAATTAAATTTAAATAATATAGAAATAAAATAAAGGAAATAAATTTGCATAATGAATTTAATTACTATTACTATTGTTATCATTTACTGTTGTTATCAACGATTCCAATGATTGGAATGATTGATTTAATAGTTCATATGAAGAAGCATGGAGAAAATTGGTGATCCGTTTGTCGAAGATAGAATTTTGAAATGATCATTCCAGGATCTTAAGTGTTGAGAATATATTCTTGAGAAAGATTATTTCGTTGAAGACAAAACCAGGAATAAGTTTGATTTTTTTGAGATATAGAAAAAACAATAGGAGATGGGTGAGGCCTTGTTTTTTTTCTTTTTTTTGATAACTATTTCCAAAATCTCGTGGGTATTAGAATTAGACTAAAAAGAAGATGACTATGATTGTAATACTAAAAGAATCGAATTTTTTCTTTTAGTGCTCCAACTTCACCATCCAAGCAATCTATGTATTCACAAGTTCAAGGTATAACCAAAAATCTGATGCAAGCAGCCACAAATGCAGCATCGTACATTCAGGGACCACATAAATGCATACTGATTATTGATGACCGACATATCGACTGGTAAGTTACTATTTGTCTGAGAGTTGAGATATTTATTAGTCAGTTGCTATTTGCCTGATGTTCGGATATTCGTTATTATTTGTCTGCCATTCGAATACTTACTGGTTATTGAATCTCCACGTGCAGATGATTTGAGCAATGTTTCTGATAACTTAAATTTATCACATTTATATTTTCAGGGGTAAATATTTCCGCAACAATCGTACTGGTTGGCAACTGCGAATTGAACAGGTATTTGATTACAGTATTAATCATATAAACAAGAGAGCCTAGGCAGAGTGATCAAAGGTTGATGGACCATTGCAATTTCGGTGTTATCCACCAAATGTGATTTTTAGCTCCAAGTTGATTTCAGCGTTACGCATAAATCCATCAAAAACTCCACGTATTTTTTTTAAAATTACTTTGTTTTGTAAGACACTAACCTTTGGTTTCATTTAGTTAATTTCTAATGGAGAATTAAAAAGTTTTAATTGTGATTAAAGTGAATTTCATTTCCAGGCTCCGTTCTCAGAAATACATGTCTGCTGTCATTCTAATCGTAAGTGTACAGTGGATATTTTGGAATCAGGAAAAGAACACAGGTATTTTTCACGAAAATTGTTGAAAAATTTTCTTTTCTTAGCTTTATTTAATTACATGTTTTTTTTCCATACTCTGCTGAGTAACTGTTTAAATGACAAACATGACAAATTTTTAAAATTTTTCAAAAAGCTTGTTGATTAATATGCTGCATCCTCTCATTGTTAAATTTATATAAAAAGTATATCGATACTGCCTAATGCCATAATTTAGCTTGAAGTTTAATCTTGTTTATGCAGATTGAATGTTGAATAAAAAAGCCATCAACGGGAAAGTAAAAGTAATGTAAATCGAAGTATTCATGATTAGAATATTTAGAATTAAGTGATCACAAATTTTATGATATTTCAATTTCCACAAATTTATTTTTTTCAGAAGAATGCAGCCAGATTTTGTTTTGTTCCGGCAAAATGCAAACAGTGAAAAGGGTGATTATACTAATATCGCTTTAGCATTGCTGAAAGGAGGTGTGCAAACTCTGAATAATCCTGAAAGTGTACGGATATTTTTAAACAAAAGTTGGATGGTAATAAGTTTTTATTATCCAACGCGATACGAGCAGTTTAAAAACTTAATGTTTCATATTTGGTAGTTAAAATTTGGAAAAAGTGATGTAATTTAAAAAAAAAGTGTGTGAAAAAAGTGATGTTTATTGAATGAATGACTTAGAAGTCGAGTCTCGACAAATATTTTCAACACTCATCTGTGGTGACAATTTTCTAGAAAACAACCATTCAGAAATGGAAGCAATGAAAGAAATAATTTCAGAAATATCTCTTAATTTTTAATAGATTTTCTGATTGCTAAAATATTATTACGTTTATTATTGGGAGAGAGGAGCAGTCGTATTTTAATTCTAATGTTTAATGAATGAAATTTTAGCTGACATCATTTACTATATTTCAGTTTAGTCGACTTCAACAAATTTGTGAAACCGCTGGACCAAATGTTATACCTCTGATCGAACAAATTTATTATCCATCATTTGATCATTTTGTGAGCTAAATTTTTTAAAAATTTATTTATTCTCATTATGTGATACAATAAATTTTTTGTCAAAAGTGTATTTTCAGAGTGTGCAACCTCGGTTTCCAATTGTAATACGTGTTGGGCATGGAACTCACGGACTTGGAAAGGCAAACTTTTTCAATCGTCTTTTTTTCTGATGAATTTGAAATTTCAGCAATATGTAGCAATATCTGCCATTTTTCTTGTTACTGTTTTACATGTAGATGAAAGTCGATGACGAAAATCATATGCTAGAAGTGGAAAATATGTTGCGAGCAATTAAACCTGTGGAAGTTTTTACTGAACTATTCATCGAAACAAAATATGATATACATTTACAGGTGGGAAAGAAGCATTTTAGTATGATGTATAGAAGTATTTTTATTATTTTGAAAAAATGCAGATTAAACCTTTGACTGCATGGAATTATCGAAAATGTTATTTTTCCATACATGCTTTGATTAATTAATGAGTTTTTGAAATCCTTAACTTTAGTGAGTGTATTCTTCTTAGAAAATTGGTGCAGAAACAAGAGCTTACATTCGTAAGGGTATATCAAATGATTGGAAGAGTAATGCTGGTTCTGCAATGTTGGAAAAAATTTCTCTCTCAAACAGGTAAAATATTTTGAGAATTATTAACTTTTCTTTAGAAGATTTTAAATTTATACTTCAAACTACTTTCAATTTAATTTTTTTTAAAATTTTTTTCAATTTAATTGCTTAAATACTAAAAAACACTAAAAAAAGTTATCGATAAATATTTGGCTCCAACTTTTCAGAGATTGAATAAAATAAATGATTGATAAGCTTAAAAAGATTTGCATTAATTATTGAAATTTCATATGAAATGAATTGATTGATGTAATATATGCAGATTTTCGGATATTGAATAATAAGTATCTTAAGATCAAAAAGATTTCAAAAATAATTATTTGAGGCAGAAACAATGGTTGACTACTATATCAGATGCATTCGGTGGACTGGAAGTATTCGGGATCGATATTTTAGTAGCAAAAGATGGAAGAGAGATAGTTTACGATGTGAATGATGTCATAACTTTACTTGGTGATACTCAAGAAGATGATCGCAGGGCTATTGCTGACCTTGTTCAAACACACATAATACAATCGTTAGTATTCGTTTTCTATCTTCTATTCCTTAAAAGTTTATGAAAGTAATTGGAAATGATTCGAGATAAGGTTAAATTGAAGTAATTAAGTTGAAATAAACTCAGATCATTTTGAGATTTTAGTAAAGTATTAATCTCTGAATAAATCAAAAATGTATGCTAAATCCTTAAATTTGAATGTCGCACACATGCTATTGTTCATAGTATTTCATTGGCCTTAAAACATAAATATCAAAAATTATTTACTGTATTTGACCAAATAAATTTAAAAATATTTTTTAAGCGCTCAACGCGCTGCGCAACAAATGGTAGCTTCAACACGTGTTGCTATGCCTCCGGTTCTACCACCACGTCCTCAATCAACAAATGTTTCACGATCCAATACCTTGGAAACAAATATGTCAGGTAATTTTTTTTGTATTTTAGAGTACATCCAAAGATTTTTGATTGTTCTGCTCATGCTTCTCAGAATTTTAAACTGATAAAAAATGGTAAAATAAAAAGTGTTCATGAAACTTCTTACTTTTCACGTTACTTAATAATAATGATAGATAATAACTTAAATTAAATTTAAAATTTATTTCAAAAATACGTGGATTGAATTTCGTGTACCAAAGATTTCACACATGTTTTGAAGGTGAAGCTACAGTGAATGTTGATGATAAATTGGGCCGAAAAAGTTCTCTTGGCCAAAAAGCAGGACAACCGCCACGGCCAATAAGACAACCAAGTAAGCAAGGGAAAGAACCACCAGGAAGCAGTTCACAGCAACCGCAACATCAGGATGATACGATGGGTCAGCTGAAACGTACATTTGCCGGTATTTTCGGTGAAGTTCAGTGATTTCTTATTTATTTTTTTATCTCTCTGCACAAATTTTCCAGTCATTTTAATTTTTAATGGTGCAAGAGGCTTTTTTGGCGTATTATCTCTTGATTTTTTTTATTACTTCCGTTATCATTCCACTATTGTAGTTAATTCATTTGAAGAAGAGTCATAATTTAAACTATTAAGACTAAAAAAATAATGCTTGGTTAATAGAGTGTTTGGCTATTACCGCTTGTAAGTTAATTTTTAGCTAATCGAGAATAGCCTAACTTTAAACATAGCGCTTCTCATTTCATTTTTCCCTGCGTTACTTTTTTTTCTCGATGATTAGAAAAAATAGCTCAGGATCGTGGAATAAAAAGTGAATTCCAAAGCGTAAGTTAAAAATTCTTTACTCAATTCACTACATTTGATGAGGAAATCAATGCTTGCATTCCTTTGTTCATTAGAGCAATTTCATAATGGATTGAAAAAATGAGTGTCGGCTGATTTCAGTTCTTTTTCACCGATTTCAAGTTTTCTATGAGTTATAGTAAAGCTAAATTTGTGCAATCTTGCTTGCTTAGTTTAAATTAATTGCAAAAAAGTAGGAAATGATTTATTTTTCAAAAACCTGCGAATCAATTCCTTAGTGATTTGGAAGTCTTTTTTGTCCTGATAACTCAACCATCAGCTAAAGCCGGATGAATCCACATTCCTATCTAGAAGGACTGAGATTGGAAGAAGTGTAGGTCAGACTAATGACTTCAGTAAGGCATAGGAAAATATGCTATTCAAACTAAAAAAACTCTCAGTGTTAAAAAATTCAGCTAAAAAAAAACAAATTATTAAGCGTAAAAATAAACCTTGCACGGAGTACAAAGATTATCATTGAAGTATTAATGCATTTTATTCTCATTAAATCTCATTTTCTTTCGTTTTTTTTTCTCTAATGTTTTCTCATTAATATTTGAAAAACTTCAGTAAATAATTACCGGTGAAAAAAACTTCTACTTTGCAGGAAAATAAAAAAAATTGTCGTTATGCTAGTAAAAAATTAATCACAAAAGGACTGCATTTCAATTTTTACCAATTTGCAAAATCTAAATTGTTGAGAAAGATTAATGATGATTCTGTACAATTGGTAATCGTCTCAGCAATCTTAAAAAATTATTTTTACATTATCTGATTATAAATTTTCTATGAAACTATGCTTCGATTTGGTACAGAACTTTTTTGTGCTATCAAAGAAAAAAAATCTTATTTCATAAGGTTTGAATTAAAAAAGGAAAGTAATCACAATTATTATGAAGATTATACGAAACAACATTTTTTATTTTATGTATAATGGAGAAGTATAGAATATATGAAATAAAAATGCATTATACGTATGCCAATTATTTTTAACACTGATAACGATTATTGCTTTTAGTGGAAGTATAAAACAGCATGAGCAAAAAGGATCAGATGAAATATTTTTTCATTCGAAGAAAAATGAAGAAATTGAAAAGTAAATATGAGGAAAGATTTTTCACTATAATTACACTATTCAATGTTCCACTTAAAATTCATATTGAAAAAAAAGTTTTTTTTCTCATTTGATTCGTGTATAAAAATGTCCCTTGACATTACGAGGGTGAGGAAGTAAAAAAATAGTTTTCCTAAATCAATAATATATAATTTCATAGATTCTGCAAATCGATTTCAATCTAATCTGAATTAAATATTGCTGATATCTCGTATTTTAATACTTAATGGATGATATGTGTGAGCAGTTAAAACGAATAGAAATTTTAGAAATTAACTTAGACTTTTTTTTAAAGCAAATGAAATAAATCAAATTTTCATCGAAGAAATTAATATAAGCATAAAATATATTGTTCATTTTTTTAGAGACTCAAAATTAAAACGTTTACATGAACCGAAATTCAAACAAATTTTTGGAACATATGGTGTTCAAAACTAAAACGCATTCCATTTGAACATAAACCAATTTCTGTTTTGCAAAAAAATTTCTAAAAATCTGATCAGTTGATCAATTATTAACACTTTACTTTTAAAATTTTCTGGAACAAACTCATATTCCATGCGCAAAACAATGCTTTAAGCAGCATATCACAAAATTATTGTAGTATATATATGCACGTCAAATTTTTTGGTTCATATAAGAGAAAATGCAAGTTTAAAAATTCAGCTTTTCCGTTTTTCCATTTGCTTCAGACTTTTAATTAAATTTCACTGTCGAAAAGATTTGAAATAAAATTTATAAAATTTACATAATTCATCATTAATGAAAATCATACAAATTCAGTTTCATTGGTCTATAAATTATTTGCAGTTTACTCTCTTAAGTATATGAAATTGCAATTCGGATGGCTTGCAATACTTGAAGCATTCCTCTCGATAAACGTATCAAAACTAAGCGATTGATGTACAATCGATTGTTGTCAAAATTGTTTTAGAAATTTGTTACTGAAGTTACACAATACTGCTATTTAAAAGATTGTCGAGAAGTCCCCTCACGCTAACTCCGACCGTAAGCCCTCCGTTTATAAATTTTTTACCTGAATTGAGGAGATTTTTGGTAATATAAACAAAAAAACTGCTTTTTTTATTCATAACATTAATAAACTTCATTTAATTACATCGATTTCTTATCATTAATAGTCAAAATGATTTTCGATAGAAGTTTGTTGGGAAACTGCTGGAAAATTTTCTATAATAAATCATATCATATGATCGTTCGATTACCGAGTCGCCAAATTTAAAAATAACTTTTCTTATTTAATTTTTACAAAAAATTTTCGAACCTTGGATTCAGTAAAATAAATTTGATCAATGGAATTCTCAGAGATAGCATTTTATACTTTTTTCATTCAAATGAATGTGAAATGAAAGCTATCCAATCATGCTAATATAGGCCAATTATTTCTCAACTTCATAACACCCGACCGTTGAATTAATTTCCATTAAGCGATTGATGATACATGCAATCGATTGATTTTAAAATTATTTTAAAAATTTGCCACTGAAGTTACACAATTCTGATAAGCCAAGCAATGAAACAAAAGCTACAAGATAAATTCAAGATTCTTATGAACAAAGCCTTTATATTAAATGCAAATTTGTTTTATCTCTGATGTTAAAAGAAAAAAAATTAAAAAATGAAAGTAAATCTTGGTGAATTTTGAGATGATAGTTTAATTTGAGGGCTGGCTTCTTAATCAGATGTAAAATGGAATATAATTTAATTTGTTTGAAAAAATTAGATTATTTATACATCAGACATAACCAAGAATTCTGGCTCAAAATATCTTTACGGTTTTTGATGCTACAATTTTTTGAAATGTTCTCGACAAACTTCTGAAAAATTTTAAGGGAACAATTGAAATAGCTATGGACCTGCGCATAATCGACCAATTGATTTCAACATATGTGCAACAGCTGTTCTGTAAAAGAGTCGATAGATGAAGATAGCATTGCTTTAAGGGTCGTATCTCCTCCATTTCATCGCCCATCGGCAACCGGGCTGAATTTTTTGTTGTTCACATTTTAACATTCGGCTGCTTAAAAGCAAGCTTTTCATTTCATTCATTCCTTCTTGGCTAGTCATTCTTGTGGAATGCCAATTTCAACTTATGATAATACCATTAAGAATGATATGGTATAGCATTATTGTCCATCTAATGGTATCAAATTCTCTATTTCGGACTATTTTTTACTCACTCTTAATGGGCCTTACCATGATTGATCCAGAATTCATGGGAAATGGAATGACAGATAGATCAATAAAAGTTTGAGAATATGCTTATAAAAGAATTTCTCTTGCTTCATTAGAGCTGTTCGACTTCTCATCCTGTCGAATCATAGCAGAAACGGTTATGTTAGAACGCATCGCGCCAACCCAAAAATATTTGCCTCGATTGCTGCTGTTGGGTATCGACATCCCCTCTTTTCTTATTACTTCATTTAACCTCTGACCTCTTGCACAATCACTAACAGTCGCTAAGACTGTGTAACACCCACCAATTTTTTCCCTTATTCCCACTCCGACATCGCTTTTCACTGGCCGTATGTTTTAGACTGACGACAAGTTTGTCTAGGAGTGTTTTTTTAAAAATTCTATTAAAAAGAAAAACTTTTCTGGCGGCATGTATCGACTTTCTTTTTGATTTTCAGTAATTTTTCTCTTTTGGATGCATTAATTAGTCGTAAATGTGAGTGTAATTTTCTGAGATTTTGATCAAGAAAAATATGTACAAAAGTGGAATGAGATTGGAAATATTCTTTGTTTTTCAAATGTTGAATATTCAGGTGTAAGCGTTAAAATGATGGCTAAGATTGTTGTTCTCACTGCAATGATTATGCTCACTGCTGCTTATAAGGAATTCATACTGAAGGAAAATAAAACACCGAAAGAGATTCGAATTTCCCATACAAACTCATTTAACGGCACTTGTAGTGAATGTAAAATGGTTAGGTTTTTGAAGTATTTCAGGTTTGATTCAGTTTATTTCTCTTTTAAATAATTCATTTTAAAATTTTTCATTCGAAATTTTAGCTTATTAACCGTTTTGCGGAAGCAATCAAAAATCCAAAAAAGATAGCTGAACTGAAAGATTTATTGCGCATACTTTGCCATGAGACATCATATGAAGACGAATGTCGTCTGGTGGTTAATCAATTGGATCATTTTATCGAGAAGTTGGAGCCATATTTGGTTTAATTTTCTTCAAATTACTTTTTAAATAATTGTGCTTTTTAATAGAATTATAAAGGCAATCAGTGCAATACATCTCTCGGTGATAGCACTATAGATACACTGTAAGCATGCAGAGATCTTTAATGAATTCTAAAGAGTTAATTGTGAATCATCTCCGTTTATCTGTCTAAACTGCCAGCAAAAATCGATTAGTCTTATTTTTGCAGCTATATGTTTTGGGTCAAGGTTAGCGAAAATTATTTTATTTTGATATTACTCAACTGTCAGTTTATCTATGTGAGATTTCGAGATTGTAAAGCTTATTTCGAAGAACTGAACTCATTTTTCTTAATTAGTTTGTAAAACATTTTTATATTCTATAAAACTTTGAATTGTACTTTAGAAAAATCCAGAAAAAGTTTGCCAGCATTTTCGCCTTTGTTCAAATCGGAAAATTGAGTATTTCCATCGAATAAATGTGATTTACGGAAGAAAAAATGCTGATGAAGACTCAGCGGTACTTTTTGCACTTCTTTAGAGCAAAACTGATTAATTATTGTATTGATATAAAATTCTGACGCTTAACTATAGAGATCAGATGATGCAGAATGCAAATGTACTTTCAAATTGAAGAGGACAGTTTGTTGTAAGACCAAATTTAGATAAGTTATCCATGCTGAAATTATTTTTTGACTTTTATGATGTTCCTGCAGAGTGATTTGATATGTGAAGAGTGTCAATTTGCGGCGCAGGAACTAAAACGTACGATAGAGGATGAAAAAATTCAACAGCGATTGAAACGATTCATTTCGGAGGAGATTTGTAGTCAGCTGGGTAGTTTGAGAGGAAAGGTATGCATTTGCTAAATTCTATTTAAAATTTTGCCGTTAGATTTTTTGAAATTTCAATTTTTTTAAAATACTTTAGAAAATTTATCTCTTCAGAATTTTTTCTTGAAATCTTGAACATTTTTAAATTTTGAATGCATTATGGAGTTTTATTTGGGTGAGCTTCTCTTATAGTGCGATCTGTTGCTTGAAGAATTTATGCCGGAACTTATGGAAGAACTTGATAAACTTTTACAAAATACGAAAACAGTAAGTTGGTTAATATTTATGACCGGGATATACTGACGTTCTGCAACAAGTGTTTCATGTTTTCTTGTGGTGATGTCTCAATTATCAGCCGTAGTTTATTGTCAGCTAATTTGATAGTAATGTCATAACGGAAGGTTATGCGTACATTTAGTATATTTTCTATTATATTTTCCGAATATCAAACTGGTTAAGATAGCGGTATATCACCTTAAACAAGAGTAGCATTTCTAAGTTGATAAAATATTCCCCTCTTTAAAATGATGATGACTATTGGACCCTTTATTCCATCGGAGAGAAATATATTGTTTTAGAAATAGTAATAATTTTAGATGAAAACTGGAGTTCTAAAAGTTTTCTGGAGTATCTGATAATTTTACAAAATTTTTCAGTTCTGTGCAGACATCGGTCTTTGCAAACATTTGATCGAGCCATTAACTGTACCGGGAGATAATTTTAATTCTCAAAAGGTTGGCATTTTTCGCATCAGAACTTTTTCTGACTTTAGATTCCAAGAAGAAATATTTTTCATTAAAAAATATGAATCTCTACTTATTTATTATAGCAGCACATTGTGTACTTCGTCCTTCATATTTCATATGCAGTATTGGTGCTTGCTACATTGGCATTTGCTTTAAAATTCTATTAAAACACTGATGAAAATACATAGCTAATCAAATTTCTGTCCTTGTTCAACATTTTCAATGTCCAAAAATAATTTTTTTTTCGAATACCTAAAATATTCAAAATTCAAGATAGATTAAAAATTTTTAATTGAAACTCAAATTTGACTACACTTCATGTATGTTTTACCACGAAGTAGTCGTATCCTATTCATTCTTGTCTCTTATCAAAGTTCATCACCACTCTTTCATGTCACAATTTTCGTATGTTATACCTCAGTACAAGATTTTGAAAAGCATTCAAGTGGAAATTTCCATTTCAGGGAAATAACAATAACACATTACGGATGGCGAATAGTTTTGTGAAACCCACGAATCAACTCACAACTGGAAGCATTTTGAGATGTTAGTTCTATTCTGGATTTGGATTTCTAACTTTATAGTTTTGTATGGTAACATAAAGCTAGAACTTCCTGCGATATCAAACTTTATTTATGAGATTTCTTCGTCGTAAATAATATTGTCTCTTCTTGTAGAACTAAAATATCTCCTTCGTCGACAGTTTATTGAAGCAGCTGCTCTGAGCAATTCGTTAGCTGCTTATATATTAACTATTAACTAGTACAATTCTTTGCTTATAATATCACCTAATATTGATATTTAAATGGAATTTTTCAGCAGAAAATCTTCAAGCGTGTGAAGCATGTCGAGATGCGCTGAGCAAAATAAAAGCACGATTAGTCGATTCAGTTTTCCAAAAAGTTTTGGAAAATATTTTATATCATAAATTTTGTCAAAAATTGCCCTACGAGAAAAGCCTTGTAAGTTTTCCCATTAAAATCATATTATGCGAACATTTCTATTCATTAATAAATAAATGGTGGACATTCGGATACTAAAGTATATAAAATTGCTTTCATTGATGGTTCATCTTCGCATGCGATTCTTTTTTGTATTCGAGTAATCGTACAAAGGTAATTTTACTAAAAAATAATAGTTTCTTTGTCCAAATATTTTCTTCAAAAAATTCAAATTTTGGCAAGGTCTTGTTGTCGTTAAAATCTTTTTTAATTTAGTGCGAAAACTTGACCATGACGTACATGCCGAAATTTCTAGCTTGGACAGTTGTCTACTTGAATCAGCATGATATTTGCAAGGTATTATTTAAAACTTCTTTGATATAGGTTATTGTTTTGATTTTTAGCATCTCCGGAAAGTGTGAAGGAATTAATAGTTGCTCCTAACTCGATTTCTATTAATGACAAGTGTAATTTCTCCTTTGTTTTTCAGTTTTTGGGGGCTTGCAAACACAAAGTATATAGGAACATTGAAGAACAATACAGATGAAATACCAAATTGATTGCTTCAGTTATTCTTATAATATGATGCATAAATTAAAGCACGTCTTTACACACTGTGCAGCGAAATATAGTCAGTGGCGCTGTGGTCTTTGAAATTGAACATAAGTGAAGTAAAATGGAAGATTTATATGGATAGGCAATTCTTAGTCCCTCGTCCCATCCAATCACATTTCATCATTCGCTTCACTTTCGTTTTTATTTGTCCAAGTTAGTTTTGTTGATGATATCATTAAACTTTAACATAACGTTAGAATTCAATGTTGACGAAATAAAATAAAAATCCTTTATTTTTAACAGAAGCAAAACAAAACTGGTACTGGTACAGTTATAACATCGTTACCTTTAACATAACGGTAGAATTCAATGTTGAGGAAATAAAATTCTGTTTTTAACAGAAGCAAAACAAAATTGATACTGATACTGATGGGTACACTGATAACATCGTTACTTTTAACATAACGGTAGAATTCAATGTCGAGGAAATAAATCTTTGTTTTTAACAGAAGAGAAACAAAACTGATGCTGATACTAACGAATATAATGATAACATCATTACACTTTAACATAACGGTAAATTCAATGTCGACGAAATAGAGTAAAAATCCTTCATTTTTAACAGAAGCAAGACAATGCTAACGAGTACAACTACATGGTGCTAGCGAATATAACACTGATTTTGTAGAAAAAAGATTTCTTTCACTAGAAGGATTCTTCGTCATCGTCGTCGTCGTCGTCTAGCTGATATGTACTTATAAGGGATCGACGAAGCGATGGCGTAACAAAGTAGCTTTCTTCCATTTCTCCACGACGACGGCGATACAGAACGAAACGCTCACCATCGTTAGCATCCGCTGAGCACCTTTGGTCATTCGCCCTAAATGGAAGATTTAATTCAATTGATTTCCTTCTCGTATCCTTTAACATTCAAATGATAAAATCTGCAAAGTAGCAAAAGAAAATTAACGGCAAAAGTAGTTCACATATTTTTAAAAATTCGAAACGTACCAGATCAGAGCTAATTTGTCACTTTCAAAATTAGCGATTGATCTTATATAATCAACGATCTGACGGCAAAGGACCGCTGCGCGCGCCAATGTCTTCTTGTACCCTAATTTGAAAATGTTCAATTGCATTTTTTTTAAAATATAAATACCATGTAGATAAAGTTTCGAGAGAATCGTGTGGTATTTCTACTGCTCACTCACTGCCTCACTTTTCAATGTTGTTCCATTAATTAATTTCAGTTAACGAATCACTCTTTTTCAACATTTGTTGATTGACTTGTGGATTTTTCAGAAAGTTCCTTTACAAAATCTGATAAGCAATAACTAACCTTGAGGTGCTATTTCTTGGAAGCTGAAACTTTTTGGTTTATGGTCAATTAGTCCTCGAACATGGAGGACGCTAATAATACGGTCAGCGCCCGAAAAAACCATATTGGGCCATTTCATTTGAAGGTTCTCGAACTAGAATTAAAAATTGTCAGAAAAAAATCCTAGAAAATCTGAAATTCTAGTAATTCAAAAAAAAGCATAATTTCATATACACAGATTAAAATGAGTCCACTAGATTTCAAGTTTTTCATCTTTAATTCTTAATTAGAATGCATGCAAATTAGCACGAAATTTGAACAGAACTGGCAAAGTATTACAACGAAGTACATACCGAGAAGCGCTGGGATGATCGGCACATTACTTCAATTGGCTTTTTTGGTGCCTCTGGCCTAAAATCAAAATTACATTCTTTTTTTCTATGAATCTATTTTAAAATTTATTTTGAATTAATGCTTTCTAAACTGCTCTCCCTCAGTGAATGAAAAACACGCATACACAAGTGGACCCTGAATCCCAACATGACTGTCATCGATTCTAAAAACAGGTTCTGGTTGATCAGTGAATACACCCATTTTTGACATTGATTCAATTGTATTCTCCAGTATCGGAAGGAACGGCTCTTTAGGAGACTGGTTAAAACTGTCTGAAATATCCAACAATTAAAATGAATTGAATAAAAAAGTGAAGGAACAGGATGAATAAAGTCATAAAGATTCTCTGAAGGATGAGATTATAGAAGTGTCGCAGAAATGAAGCAAGTATGTCAAAGAGAAATGGCAGAAGAGTTACAAATAGAAGAAAGGAGTTGAGAGGTAGCAGACGGAAATCATTCTGCTTATAAAACACTTTAGAAAGTGATGCTTCGTCAAAAATCTGCGAAAAATTTTCCTTTTTTAAGTTTTTTTTTTTTCGAATACAAATACAATATTTGATTTTTTATGCTTCTTTAATTATCGCACAAGAATAATAAATTAACTAATTACTTCGTTGCCAATTCATATCCGCGCGAATTCGTCCAATGGACGACGGTTCCGCTAAATCAACATTTTGTCGCACTATAACACTCATCGTACCGAATTCGCACAGTGATAGTTGCCGATAATCCGGAGTTGCACTTGAATACCAGGTTAAAAATTTTTGAACCTAATTTTTCTAAGTTTCTAATTTCCAAACTGGAGCTCTATACATGACTCATAATTCAAAAACTGTTGATGAGGTTTAAATATTTTGAGCTAAGACTGATGTAGAAACAAAGATGTATGTTCAGTCCCCCAGAAAAATTTTTGAAGTCTGCAAATTACTTGCTAACAGAGCATTTTTACATTTCTTCCTCACTAATTTTATTTATACTTGATTTAAATTTCATTATTGAATCTCTAAGATATAATGACTTACCGTCCAGTTAAAATGTCCAGAGCTCCTTGGAGATAAGTTTTGGAAGGGCGTGCATCGCCAAAAGGCATTTCCTCAATGATTATTAAATCTCCAATACGTTCAACATTAAAGCGATAAGAACGACGCTCATTGTCGATGAAACTACAAACAATATTTTAAAAATTTACAAAAAAAAACGAACTGTTACACTATTACTGATATGACCCAGCTAATGATCAATATGGGAAAATTTTTTCCTGACATATTTTCATAAATAATGCTTCTATGGTATTTTTTAGCAAGTCTAAACAAAAAGTTTTAATAAAGCTGATTTATTTCCGAAATGAAAAAAGAAGAAAAAGTTAGCAGGTGACAGAAAAAAAAGAGTAGTGGAAGCGATTTAAAATTACTCATAAAGTTCGATAATTCCTACAGCCATACAATAGGATTAATTCTAAGCATGATGAAATTTGAATTTTCAGCTTACAAAATAAGGAGGAAAAATATTAAGATGAAGAGAAAAATAGGAGGCAATACAAGTTTGAAATGCCTACCGACAAAGCGTCGTAAGGAAAGTCTTGGTGGTAATAATATCAAATTTCAAATTTGGACGCAAATAACGCATTACTGCAATTGGAACTTCCATCGAATATTCGTTTTCTATTACTGCACCTCGAGTTCGTCGACGATACTCCAGATTGCATGCTTCGCCCTTGAGATTTATTTCATCCTCGTCTGTAAAATTTGGGATTCTATCAAAATCCAATTTTAATGAGACTACCTATTTTGAAAGTTTTTAAAACTAAATCCTATACGATATTTTAATATCATTAGCTATTTCAATGAGAAAAAGCAAGCCTTCAATAATCGGTGCAATTCCATCGAATTGGATAATTTTTAGTTTATTGCAATTATGTCGGAGCAAAGAATAGTCAAAAAGAGGTTCCACTTTAAAATTTCTCAAAATATCCCCTGCACGTTCATCGTCACATTCGGCGATCTCATCTCGAGCAAACGTAGTTAATGGATTCAAGCGATCAAGATCTTGAAACATATAATAGCGATCCGATGCCGAAAATCGACTCATGATGATCCAAATCTTCCTTCGACTTGCAACAACCGCATCAACCGAAACAAAATTGTATGACTGAATTGCATCCGTTATAATGTGCTTATGTCTGACGTCTCAGTAACAAAAATTTGAATATACAAAAAAACAACCGTGGACTCAGTGGCAGTAGGGAGGGAAGGCAATTTACCTAATATGTAAATTATAAAATGCAGTGCGCGTAACACTGCAATGTTATTGTCAAATTTGTCATAGGCTTGGGCAGTTGATTGGTTCTAACTAGGTTACAGCTGTCAAGATTATTTCGTTTTTGGTACGGGCATGCTGCACTGCATTTTCCGTTTACTTACAGCTTTCGGATATATGTCCCGTCATCCTTCATCATCGGATATGAAGTCAGAAAAGTCACATGAACTTAACGGCACGGCAAAGCCCACCACAGATGTATCACAAAGTGAGAAAACAAAAGAGAGATATCAGATATCAGCTGCTCCTCATGATTTCCCGGGTACGTTATTCTACCAAAAAAAAGGATAGTACACTCCAATTTTTCCCATCATTTTTTTTTGTCTTTCTCAGTACATTTGTGTGTTTGCAGAAAAATTTTGAAAGGAAGTAAGAATTTGATATTTAAAAATTTGCTCAGGTAATACTAATTGTAGCTATATATCACGCACATCAAATGCCCCTTTATTCTCACGTATTCACTACGTGACTTCCCGTGGGAAAGTATCCTCTTCAATTACAATAATTCGCACATCAATCCTACGACTTCCATAAAGTCGTCAGCAAAACGTTACCGCGCAACTGTCCTGAAACGCGCCAATTATAAATTTTTCACAAGCTACATCGTCAAAGGTGGTTGATTGGTTTGCATTGGTTTGACAGTGTCAGAGATGGGTGGGTATGTTGGTGGGTGAGGGTGGGATGGGGTGTGTGGTGTCATTTGTGGGTTTCTTCATGTTTTTTGTTAGGAATGGTGATGTCAGTATTTTGAATACGGTTTTCTGAGTCATTACTGCTTTTCCGGCTCTTTCAATCCATAATTCTAGCTAAATAATGAGCTTTTCTGAGAGTGTTGTTTTGAGACGGTGTCATTTCATCCTTTATACAGATATACAGTTACCTATTGTTATCTTAGCTTAATTTCTCGAGATTCCGGAAATAGCGTTACTGATCTCCTACGCAGAAGTGTGGTCGGATGCAAGGAATATTTCTGAATGCAGAGTTCAGTGTTTTGTTCTGTCCTTCAATATGTCTTACTAATATTGCCTTACCAATGAATATGTCTTACTTATGTTTGCAGTATATATGGAGCTTAGGGTTGGTGGTCGTTTTCGACTTGGTCGCAAAATTGGCAGCGGTTCATTTGGTGACATCTATTTGGGTAAGAAATTTTATTCAAGATTTTCTTCCTTCACTTTAAGGATATCATAAGTAATATTTGCAACTAAGACTAGAATTCAATTTAGAAAATTCGTAGTGGTGAGGAGCATAGATTTATTCTTTATTGACTTCCTCATATTTAACTGTTAGGAACGGAATAAATCAATTTTATTTTCACTTTCGTTTTTATTTTTCGAATTGATCTGTCTGTTGTTTTACAGGCCAAAATATCGTAACACAGGAGGAGGTAGCAATCAAGTTGGAATGCGTAAAAACTAAACATCCACAGCTGCACATCGAGGCTAGATTATATAAACTAATGAGTGGAGGAATAGGTATTCCACAGGTAAGGGTTGTTCATGTTATTCCATTTGTAGTTCAATCGATTTTTTGCTCTTGAGCAATTTTCATAAATTAAGATAATTGTTTGATAATAGTCTTGTTCTTGACACGGCTTAATTCGACTTCTTCAATTAAATTTGCTTTAATAATAGCTATATTTCATGAGAAAATATGCAGTTACATGTACGAACTTCTTACGATACATTAATTAACTCCGATTGTGTGGATTAGATAATTTATTTTCTGTTTATGAAAAAGAAGTCGATGGTATTTCAGCTTGAGAAAAAATTTTCAAAATTGTTAGCAGTCAGTAATTGCCTAAAGCGAGCATTTTTTAAGGTGAAGTGGTGTGGTTACGAAGGCGAATACAATGTTATGGTAATGGAGCTGTTGGGACCATCTTTGGAAGATTTATTTAATTTTTGCTCTCGAAAATTCACTCTAAAAACCGTACTGCTTTTAGCTGACCAAATGGTGAGATTTGTTCAAATATATAAAATTCACTGTTTTAAATTACGTAATTTATATTCGATAATCATTCGATAATACTATGGTCTAGATTTTAAGGTTCCTCTCATATGTCCGCGTTATGACATGGGTTTAAGAGTACTAAAAAGTTTTTTTTATGCTACAGTTATAAATAAGTGGAACACTAGGAATGAAGGTTGGTATCAAACATCGAAATTCTTATGAATCAAGTTAATCAATTAAAGTTACAATAATCAGAGCTGTGGAATATATCTGGTGATCACTTAGAGCATTTTTATGCTTTATGCTCTTTATGCTCTAAGTGATCACCAGATATATTCCAGAGCTTTGATTATTATAGTCGGCACCAAAAGTTCTTTGTCTACAGCAGATTTTCTTCCAAGTATGAAAAGTCATAAAACGGCCATGTCTGATGGAAATGGACTATAAATTAAAGGACGAAGTAATACCTGGAAGCAAATTCTAGATGGGGCGCCCTGATATTCAAAAGACAGAATTCCGAATTTTGAAACGAATTAGTTTTCAGTTATCCCGCATTGAATATATCCATTCGAGAGATTTTATTCATCGTGATATTAAACCTGACAATTTTTTGATGGGATTAGGCAAGAAAGGCAATTTAGTTTATGTAAGTCTTTTTGATTTTTCCATGTTTATTGACATATATGCATTATAAGACATTTGAAAAGTTTTAAAGACTGCAAATTTTTAGGATATGGTCACAACGAGATTTTATTTATTGAAAATACTGTAGAATAATACTTTCGAAATTTTAAGCAAAAAAAAATATTGCCACATGCTTGTGGAAGTCAGTTTGAACTTAATGAAAGTATGAAATAAACGAAATGGCGCAATTCATGATGTGCCCTACTGTACAGCATTCTTTGTGACTGAGACTGTTTAATCGATTAAAGTATTATTAGAAGTATAGTTTATTCCCCATAAATTTTCCTTAAATGCATTTCAGATTATTGATTTTGGACTTGCGAAAAAATATCGCTGTAGTAGGACACACGCTCATATTCCGTATCGAGAAAATAAGAACCTTACTGGAACGGCACGATATGCATCTGTTAACACTCATCTTGGAATAGGTATGAATGTGAATATTATGTTATCAAATTTATAAGTGAAACTGACTTTTCATACCATCTGCGTTTTTGTCGTAGCAATGGTGGCAGAATATGATAAGGCGACAGTAGTGAAAAATTATTTGAACTGTTATTGATCTGTTAAGTAATAGGAATATCGAAGGCAGTTAGGGTGACTTTACGGTTTTTTATAGAACAGAGTCGAAGGGATGATATTGAATCACTCGGGTATGTACTTATGTATTTCAATCGCGGCACCTTACCTTGGCAAGGTTTGAAAGCAGCAACAAAACGGCAGAAATATGATAAGATCTCGGAGAAGAAAATGAGCACACCTGTCGAAGAGCTTTGTGCCGGATATCCAGGTAGGTCATCATTTTGATTGTTACTTTGATATTCAGGTTTCTGATACTTAGAAACTGAAATTTTTCTCTACAGTTCTGTAATAACCACTTCATGCAAATAAATTTCTGATGTCTTTTCTTAAAATAAATTTTGTTTTATGTAACTGCAAATATGAAAGGAGGATACCTAATAAAACGTAACTTTTATGTACATTAATGTCTTGATTTTTACTACGTTCTCATTTTCAGAAGCATTTGCTGCTTATTTGAAGTATTGCAAGTGTCTAGGCTTCGAAGAACAACCGGATTATTCTCACCTACGTCAACTTTTCCGAAATCTATTCCATCGACAGGGTTTTACATATGATTATGTTTTCGATTGGAATTTGCTCAAGTAAGACTTCAGAAGCTTGCATTTCTAGTTTTTCTTTTGTTTATAAATTTTCATCATCGTTTTTATGAAACACTACTATTTCGCATTCAGTCCAAATTGAACCAAAATAAACCTCTCATTGCTTAATTGATATCCTTAATTGTTCTAATAACGAAGGCGTGCGAAAGAAATAATCTGCTGTCCTCGTTGACTGTATTTGAAAAAAAAAAAACGACTCAGTCGGTTTATTAATATTCTTTCTTTTTTCCTGCTTTTCCACTCTGAAAAAATCATTTCTGTTCTATACAGAACGGCTAAACGTATGCAGCCATCGCAAGTGCAGCAGGTAGCGCAGCAAAGAATGACCATTGAACAGTAAAGGTACATTTACTATTTTAAAACTAAAAGAAAAAATTGATGTATTTGAGATTTTGCAAAATATCGTTTAATATGATATGCAGCTGTGTTTCTGCAGTTTTTATTAGTTACAGTAGATAAGGCTTGATGTTTGAGATTTGAGAGAAGTGCAGTTTGAAAAGATGATTATGGCCAGCGTTGTTTTATATATTGGATATCACAGTCGTTTACTCGAAGATTGTTATTCCATAATTTTTAGCTTTTAAATATTTGTTTTAGCAAGTATATGTGTGTTTAATCCGAAGTAAGAGTGGATTGTGATATTTTAGCTCTATTTAATTGTTTTATTTTTTGGATGAAGTATTCGGGAATCATGCTACTATTTTTACAATTCAACTATATTAGCATATTTTCAGAGTAAATTACGGGTCAGTTTTGGTGTGCCAACAAACAATTACTGATGTATAAAACAAAAAACTATTGTGTACAGAAGTATTTATGGCTTGCGAATAACCTCATCGTCAAGTTACTAGTTTACTGATCACATACTTCGTCATGTTTTGCTATTTTACAATGTGCACAGCAAATCTGAATTTTTTCTGTTCTCTTTTGTATTTAATTTATTTAACGTGAAATTCGAGGCATTTCCTATTTTTGGTTGGGGACAAGGGAGATAGTGCTGTTCCAAAGATTCTGCAAAAATGGGAGTACTCTAGAATGGTAAAATGTATGAAGTGAAGAAGGCAGTTGTTTATTGCTGTGCATGTGTCACTGTTCTTATCAATTCTATAATTCTCTTGGATATTCGGAATTCTGTGTTTATGTTCTTTGCTGAGAGTAAGAATTTTACAGTATAGTAATGGAAAGCTTGGCGATGTGATGCAAATTTAGAGAAAAATTATGAAATACTTATGTGATTTACGTATATTACTGCTTCCTTTAATAGATGATCCAAAACACAATACTGTTTATTCATTTTGGTGGGAATGGCCACTTCTACTAGTCTGATAAGTAATGTCTTGACATTTTATAGTGTAAGAAATTAAGATTATTTTTGTGATTAGCATATTAGATTCCCTAGATTAATAGTTTCTCCAGATTGATTTTGGAAGGTTAACAATTTCATGTGCATCACATTTCTATCAATTTTACATTTGGTGCTTGTGCTGATTATATGATACCACGACGAAGTTTACATTCCACATAAACTTTTAGCATAACTTATTGTTTTGTCAATATACAAATAGATGTATGATGCATTTTTGTTTCCATATCCTATTCAAATCCTTCACTTTTTTGATTATTTCTTCGAAATTAAATTGATAGCGAAATTTCTGAAATTCTAAAATAAATTCAAATGGTGATGATGGAGGATCTGAAGGTGCAGAGAGTAAGAACAAAAGATTTTCAAGACGAGCGGAATATAATGTTCACCGACTTATTGCAACCCTTCATTTTTGTTGAGTAGTTCTTTTATTGGATTGCTTTAATTATTGGATACGACCGTTAAGAAATTCCATTCATTTTAAACAAATTGTGTATGCTGTGTGATAAGCAAACTGTGTGTGCTATGTGATTTGTTTTTTGAAGAATCAATAATGATTACGAATTACTGTAATTTTCAGCACTGCCTTTGTAGAGGTAAATAGTGAATAATAGTCCGTTCTGGATTCTTTATGAAATTGGGTAAAGCTGTAGCTAATTGTAATTAGAAATTTTACATATCACGTATTCTGATGGGTGTATTAGTGGTCGAGATGAAAGATTGGTTCCATTAAGCATTCCTTATTAAAAAATTCGGACTTTACCATTGCACTAGTTCTCAACATGTTGTATAACTCTGGTTTGTTATTGGGACATTTGTGCTGTCTAATTATAATTATCTATCCAGTCCTCAAACTATGTTGTCTTTTAAATGTTCACGGTCATGATTGTGTGTTTTTTTTGCCAGTGGAAAGTAAAAAAATTTTTGCTTGTTATTTTCCCCAACTGATAATGTCATAGCATTCTGTACGCGCTTTGGTGCCTCAGTTTTCGAATTTTTATTCGATTTGGAAATTTACATTATTTTGAAATTACGAACCAATGCACAAACATCCTTGAAAACAAAATTTACAGCCGATGCCATGCAATGAAATAAGTGGTGTAGTTTTTTTCCAGTTAATGAATGCATAAAAAATGTTGACAATTTTAAAAAGTTTGCATAGCATGAGTTGTACGCTATGTATTGTTTTGGTTATATCTGTACATTATCATTATTATTATTATTATTATTATTACAAACGAGCAGGTTGGTTTTTAGGATTGATGGATGCATTATTATTTTGTCAGATAAATACTCCAGATTTATAAATTCCGGATTCCATAGTGGGAAATAAGATTTCTGGGGAATTTGTGCGGAGAAGTATGGTTATTGAAATAACGGCAGTCGAGATCTTTCAATTCTTTGGAGTCCTGTGCTGCTGGTAACCGTGCACTTTGACGATGCGGTCTGTTTGATGATTAAAAATGGGTCGTATATAAGTTTGAAGGATTATGTATCTTTTAAGCTTCTTCGAACGAATACTTTCAATGTATTTCAATATTTATTAATTTATCTGTTATTTAAAATATATGAATTTGTCGCGTTTTAGGTGAAGTTTTATGAGCTGAATAGTTGTGGATGAGTTGTATTTTATTTGGATGCTTAAGGTGTCTCGTCTTTCATTCTATCAAATATTTTGATGAAGCATGTCGCGGAATAGGTAAATTTCCTGCTGTTGGTTCACCTTCAAAATTTGAATTTTAGTGTTGGAATATATTTACACCACTTTCTGTAGACTAATTTCCTAAAGAAAATTTTTAATTTTCGTGGTTTATATGCTTTGACTATTTGAGCATTCGGAAAAAACTTTCAGGAAAGATGTGGTGACTTTGTTCGATGTGTTCTGCGAAGTCGGTGCAACGGTGGATGGTGGAATAGCTGTCATCCTTCAAAAATATCCTGATGATTTCAACCATGAGCAAACACTAAAATCTATAGCTCAGTTTAGCTTTCCATGTGGCGTCGATGAGTTAGTTTTTGGCAAAAATTTTCATTTTTTCTTAAAGTTTGTTTAATCTTAATATTACCTTTGACTGCCCACATTGATATAGAATTTGAAAAAGTTTGATTCACTAGTGTTGTTTGGAAAAATTCCAAAAAAAATGTAGAATAAATGAGCATAGTAACATTTTTTTCCATTGTACAACCTTTTCAAGTTGAGTTTTCAAGAACATACATTACATTTGAACAGCACGATGAGAAATGGCACCTCAAACTATCTGTATTGGGATTGATTCACAAATGATCAGAAGACTTCAATGAGATTAAATTCCATTTTCTAATCTGTTCTGACACCTCGAAATGTAATACTTCAGATAGTATGCTTGAAATAAAATTGCAGCCTTTGCAACTATAACATGGAATCGGTACAACTGTTTTCATTTGTTTTAACAGACGAAAAATCACAGTATACATATGCTTTCTGTCGACATACGCCGCACAATAATACATGTATTTGTATTCTCAGGTTTCCTTGAAATTTTTATATTAGAATGCTTTTGCGGATTTAAATTTTCTTTATAATGCTTTGCAAGCATAAGGTATATGTCACTTTGCGGACTACTATTAGAGCCATGTGCTTAATTCTCACAATGTTTTGGTGAAATCATAGTGCGGACTCCTTGTATCAATATGGGTGATTTTGTTGATTTTTCAGGTGTTTTGTAGATTGCTTTTTTAAAAAATCTGTTGAAAATTTTAAATTAATTTTTAATCATTCTGATTTTAACGGCCATCTAACTGAAAGTTTTGCAGCGGTCTTCCATGGACCAATGTTTTCTACAAAATTCTTAATCACATATCAGCAATAATGAACAACAAACCGGTATGTCGAGATTTCGAATCCTGCTAAATTTTTTCGTTTTTTTTTTTTGAAACATTTTCACAGCCGAGATATAAGAATTCGTGTTAATTGGAAATTCGAATATTCCATTCTTTAAATTTCAAATTTTTCAAGACAAATGAATTGGATTCTTTCCTGACGTGTGCTTACCATACACCTATTCCTGGTCCTGGCGAGAGTTTATTTATTGAATCTAGTCTTGGCATAAATGTTTGTTTTCTTTTTCTTCAGTCGTACATTCATATCTTTTGCTTCTATACTTTTCATGAAAACTTCAAATATCGAAAATAATAACAGTAAAAGGATCGAGAAATGTTTGAATTTGAGATTTTGAGCCACCAGTATCTTTATTGCGGTATTACAAAAAAATAAAATTAAGTAGAAAAGTATGATACATATTTGCAGAAACTATTTCTTCATCCTTATTCAGGAAATACCAGATTCAATCCTTTATCTGCTTTTTTCTTACAGAAACTACAAGTAATTGTGCCAGATAGCGGTAGATTGCCTACTTTGAAAGGGGACAAATTCATGCTTGAGTTTTACAATACCATGTCAGAAAAACAAATGATCGCACTATATGCAGGGTAAGTTTATTCTTTCCTTTTAGTCATACTTTCTATTTTTATTACTTCAGAAAGCTTTGGAAATATTTTTCGAGTATAGAATTTTTCAATTTGCAGCTTACTGAAGGAACGGCGTATTTTATTTACGAGTGCGAAATTAAGTCAACTTTCATCGTGTGTATTTGCTGCTGCAACATTACTTTATCCAATGCATTGGCAAAATCTTTTCATTCCTGTACTTCCTGCTGGCCTGGTTGATATGCTGATGTAGGTTTACCGTTTATCTTTTTGGCTTTTTTTAGTTTGTTTACTTCTTGACCTTGTTTTTCAAAATTCTTCGTTGTAAGTGTATTGTAATTGTTTTCGTTCCGTTTAATCTAACAAGAGACAGTTGGTTCATGCAGCACGTCGTCCTGCAACACACTCACACGGTGAACAGAGCTACTTATAAAATTTTCAAAAGATTGCTATAGATATCGTCTTCTTATTTCAATTAGTTTATCTTTTGGTTGTGATTTAAAGTACTTAGCCGTATTTGGTCAATGCTAGCATTGTGTTGTCTGCATATTTAAACTTCTTTGAATATACTCGCTGGGCTTCAGTATATCTCTCATTTGGGCTGTATTACAATGCTTAGGAAGTTTTTTGTTTCTAATGGTAAAAATTCGCTTATAACTGGTTATGTCTAACAAAATTTTCTGTTAATTTCAGGGCGCCAATGCCATATCTTGTAGGCGTACCAAAGAGAATTTTGCAGGTTTGATCTTCTCACATTTAGATTTAGTTTAGAATCCATTGTTGTGAGGAGCAGCAAACTGTTAGTGATTTCTAATATACTTATTTCAAAAAACAAGGAAATTTCCAGTTTAGAATCTTCTATGAAAGATCTTACTTTCTTGCAAGGATGTGTGTTATATGGTGTATAACTCTAAATTTCAATTTAGGCTATGAAACAGCTTGAACTTGGTGATGTGATGGTCATAGATTTGGAGGAGCGTACACTGCAGTGTATTCATAACGATGTACAAGATTTGCCAGCAGAAGCATTGAGTATTCTTCGACATCATTTACATTCATCTTCTAATATGTTCTTTTCCGATGGATTAGCTCGTTCTTTTCTCAGGTTAGCAAATTATATTTGATGTAGAGAATGAAGTGTCAGAAATCATAGCATATTAGATAAAAACGTTAAGACGGAGATTAGATGGATCTGAAAATTATTCATGGTAATTTTTTTATCATTTGGCAAATTATGTTGCAGGACAAACGTTTTTCTTTTCGGTGGTTACCATAAAGGATTATCATGCTCGTCGTATTCTTTTTCATGGGATCGCCAAAAATTTATCCAGAATCAGAAACCTGGTCTTCAGGCTTATTTGCGGTCCTTACTTGGGCAAGATGGTGTGCAATACCTTGAACGGGTGAGAGTATCCTATTAAATAATCGTGGAAAAATTGTATTATTTACACTTATTAATGTACATTGAGCATTACCCCTTTCTTGCATATCTTAATGATGAAGGCAACCTAAACTGTTTTACTGCTTGCTTTATTTGCAGTTCATCGACGAAAGGATCGCAGCGCTGAACTCTGGCGCACCAATTGATGATGAATTTGAAAAAGAGATTCGTATTAATCAAATGAAATCGTCGAAGACATCACATCTGGTATGTACAAACTTTGGATTCCGGAAAATCTCTTTACCTGATCATCCTCTGTTCCCAAACTACATTGCGTTGTTTTGAGTCTAAGTTGAAAATACGAAATCATTACAGAATCATCCAGAAATGTTTCAGAATGCAGTAACTTCTGTAAGATTTTATCACTACTGCTATTGTGGTTGCTGTGATTGTGATAATATTCTATTTATGTTTGATCTCTACTTAAATGACTTGTTAAAACTCAGGAGTGGAGAGACAGGAAGTGTTTACAAATCACATTATGAAATGTTTATACTGATAAATGCCCATGTAAAACTACGTGAGCGTCTATCAATATAAACATTTCATAATGTGTTCCCAAAATTTTCTTTTCATTATTGATAGTTTTCTTTGCTCTTTTGGGAAATGAATTCCTGATTATGACCAATGTAGATCATAAACCAATGCCTGTGCCATAATATTTGTGAATTTATTCTACAATATTCTTTAAAATTGCAAAGATTCCACCTCCTCTTTAACTATTCATTGTGTGTATATGGAATGAATGCTTCATTGTCGTTTTATTGCTTCTCATTAAGTTCTCTTTGCATTTAGGTTCGAGAAAATGCTAATGATGTAATTGGTTTATTGAAAGATAAAGTTCATTCCATAGCGGTAAGTCTGTTTTCAACTTCATTCCGTTACAATAAGGCTATACTCCTAATTTCTCTAGCAAAACTTCCTTTCAGGACTTTTTGCTAACATTCGGTTAGATTGCTAAAGGAAATAATTTGAAATTGAACTTAATTTAAAGAGTAGTGGTTTTAATTTGAAATCTTAAAGGATATTTAGCTAAAAGAGCGCTTGGGCCGTTTGACCCCAAAAGAAATTCGACGGGCCTCTTCCAGAAAATCACAACCTTTTTACGATGATGGAGCACTTTCATTCGACACACAACAATGGATAACCGAAAATAAGGTGGAACCTGATGGTGAGGTATGTCTTTAATATGCTTAAAATTCAGAAAAATCCGAACGAAAAATATCTAATGTGTGACAAGATTCGGGCACTGCAGGCAAATATGTAAATCTTTTCAGCATTTTTATGATTTTTTCATCATGATAGTCATGTATCAGTTAATCGGGACGGTTTGACGACTGACTGTATAGGAATTCTTTGTAAAGCAGATGCATTTCATTGCCTTGCCTGGTAATTTTTCTTGATGAATTGTTAAAACTCAAGAGAGATGATACAGGAAGTGTTTACAAATCACATTATGAAATGTTAATGTTGATAAATGCTCATGTAAGACTACATTCACAAACTAATTTTTTCCTTTTCATTACTGATAGTTTTCTTTGCTATTTTGTGGAATGAATTCCTGGATATGTAGTCATAGACTAATGTCATAAGTGTTTTTAGACCACGTTATAAGTGATTGCTTTTAGACTACGTTGTCAGTAGTTGACGAGACAACGGATCTGATCGATTTGAGTGACAATTCATTACCATCAACGTCGAATCATAAAGCTGACGGCTCATCCTCTACTTCAGTTGGAAAAGAAGCGATTACAAGTTCAGCGAAACCTATAGATACTCCTGCACATCATCTCTCGTTACAATCTCTGAATTTCGATCCATTCGCACCGTTACCATCAACCACTTCCTCACCACCAAGTCCGGTTAATTACAGTGTTCCCAGAGACCGTTGGCAACGTTTTGATTGATTCTGTTCGTAATTTTATTCATTCATTTTTGTTCTTTCCAGTCGCAGACTTTGCTGTTTTATATACCATTGTATATCTCATTCGAAAATTGCTTGAGAAAAACAATTTTCGATTACACCCACTTTTGGCATAGGATGTTACTCTCACACGAATTTAATATTATGTCAAGAGTTCAGTATTTAACATATAAAATCGTGGTTACTCTTTCCTGTACTTATGTATCTTTCCTATCTTTTTATCTCAGCAGATTTCCTTTTTTTCCTGTTTTCATGAATTTCAGCATATCAACAACATTGTCTAGTCTAGAATGTTGATGTCATGTACAAATGTTAGGTCTTTCTAGAATGAGATTGTAGAATAGCAAAGTAATGTAAAACGATAGATTATGTTTCATAGAAAAAATAAAATTTGTGAAGTTATGGCTTACTATGTGGGACGATTTATCCGGAACAACTGATTTTTCGACCAATACACTGAAGTTTAATGTTCCAGGTAACAAGATGAATTCTCAGGTCTAATCTGCCTAAAAATGGCCATTCTTTTTTTCCGACAAAAATGCAATTTACCACTTTAAACTAGTTTGATTCAACTTCTTCAAAAACTTCAAGCGGTTGAACAATCAAATACTGGAAAAAGAATGGCATCAATAAATCGCTGCCCACAACAGCTGACATTATGAAAAGCAGTGATGTATTGGTATGTACCAATCAAAAGCACAAAAATATTGACAGGTATCACACAGATCAAATTCGAAAAGATAATCGCACACCCGAGTTTATGCAAGAAATGTACATCAATCAATATAAACTGGTAGTTGATAACAATGAATCGGTCAACCATTTCAAGCAAAGAAAGAAGTTTCAAATTTTACCACATGCTAAAAAGCGTTAATACACGTTATTTGAATACCGATATTAAGGAAGTAAGCATTGTTTACGGAATGAAAGGAAAAAACGGAAGAAACTGATCCCAACTCTGCGTAATATCCTAGCACGACTAATGAACGTATTACCAGAAAGCAAGTTTACGATGAAACATCATTCACCAAGACATATGAAGAATTGAGAATAAATCGAAAATATCAGTGGAAACTCCATCAAAGCTAATGCTTTCGTGAAAAGTTATCTAAAGAAGAAAAATTGGAACAATTTAAGGTGTGAAGTTTTAAGTGAATGGGAAAACTATCGGACAGATAATCCTAATGAATGTTAAAGTTTTCGTATCAAAACTAGCAATGAAGAGGTTTGTGGAATGACTCGAAAACTCAACCACGATATATGAACTTCAAATAAAGTGACTGTATATCCTAACAATCATAATTTTAGAAAAAATAGTGAGTAGATGCTAAAAACATTGCTTGCTATATCTCAGTAGTATGAACAGATGACCATTAAATTTGTCATGTCCTATTATTACTTTTGTTTAGTGGGAAGGACTTTAAAAATATAAAACTATCGCTGCATATTTAAGACTTTTGGGGTCAATGTAGAATTTCTGCATATAAAATTAGAATGTGTAAATATGTACGCCTAAAATAATTCTGGAAGATCTTGCAGTAAAAAAAATAGAGGGAAAAATTCTAACCTGAAGTAACATATATTTATTAAACTAGTGTGAAACAAATTACGCCTGATAAATATATAACAAACCAATCTTATAAACGAGAATAATGATTAATGTAAAAATCAATAAGCTAGAAAATTGAAGTGATAGAGGGAAGTCATTTATACACAATTCATCAAGATATTGAGTCAGTTTAGCGTTAGGTTCTGAACATGACTCTTGAATGAAAAACCACTGGAAGTTGGCTAAGTAAATCCGTAAAATATATCGAAAAAAGTTGAAAGAGTTTGCTCAAGGAATTCAACAAATTTTAACGGCAGGATGATTTCCGGGGGAAAATAACTTGTTAGTTTGCTTCACGTCAACATATGCATAAAGGAAATGTGAGCAAAGTGACGGTAAAAAATAAAACAAAACTAAAGCTTAGTGATCTCGTTTGGTTTGCTTAAATCGATTATTGATTTCGGTTTATAAGGTAAGGGAGGTTTAGGCAATGTATTATAACTTTCAGCTCCCGATAATGTTCCAGCATGCTGGTGATAAGTATCGGTACCCAAATGTACCACAGTACGATTGTCTTTTGTACAAGCAACTGGACCAGATGCATTACGACAAATCTCAACTGAATTTCGGTTTCGCAGATCAGGTTGTAATATTTTAACCTCTTGTAAGCTGTCATGCTGCACCGAATCAACAACAGAATTTTGAAATCCTCCGTCTGGAGTAGATGATCGCACCACATTACGTGGTGGCGGTGGACGTAATGGCCGGCTTGGTTCGTGATAAGAACGGGTCATTTGTTGTTGAAAAGTGAAATTATCGCATATTTCAACATTGGTTGTACAACCATATTCAGCCATCGAATCATTGGATGCAATTGATGGACTTTTGCTAATAAAATTGTTCAAATTTTCTAAACTAGACGACATCTCTTCTACGCTATCATTGCAAACATTCGAGTGATTAGTTGTACAGTTATTATTAGTGCTGTTACAATTTGAATAACCTATAACAGGTGGTGGTGGTGCCGGCCATTTGGGACGAGCTCGTAAAGTTGAAGAGGCTGATGGTGGTTGCGATGATTGTTGTAGCATTGAAGCTGTGTTGCGCAATTGCACTGAATTCTTGCAGGAATTGCTGAAAAAAAGATTAAATATTTTTGCTATCGAAGGATAACTTTCGAGCATACCGAATAAAACAAAAAATTAAAAAAACGGTTTAAACTTATAATGACAGAAACAGAACTAAGAAACAAAAATAACAAGACGATTATGATGGAAGCTATATTCTAACAACATGCTAATTCTAACTGCGAGCTTACTTGCTGCTTTGTGTATAACGAAGAGCGATATGCTGTTGACCTTGTGTACCACGTGTAACCATACGATCTCCACTTTCAAAGCTATTCGTTACATCGGGCTTTCGTTGCAAAAATGAATCAAGCAGTGGTGATGTGTAGTTGAAGTTATCTACAAATATAACTTTCACGACCTATAAAAACTGAATAAAAGGGGAATGACATTTTAAACGTGTTCATGCATTAATATATAAGACATGAAATAGCATTATCGTCTAAAAGCATGACATAAAATTACGTCAGAACTACGTCTTCCGATGAAAAAACTGTGAATTCAAAGCTTCACGGTTCATTCATCGGAACTAATTAGTAAGAAACTATCTCAGCTGCAAGTGAGATACATTAAATTAGAAAGCATGTAATTAAAAATTAGTAACCACGTTGCTACACTTTTATAAACACTGATTTCAATTCGATATGTAGAATATTAATTCCAAATTTAAACAAATAATACGCGTTTCAAGATAGATAATTCTTGTTTTTTTCTTTTTACACTCAGAAACAAATGGACAGGACAATCAATTGAGAAGTCATAGCGGTAATCACAAATAATTATGAAAACCAAAAAGTTCGTTAAAAAATTACAGTTCGGGAAGAAATAATCGGCATTGATTATTAATGTCTCCACCAATTTTGAACCAAGTATATTCTCTGATTCAGTACCATTGCCAGCATCAAT